GCTAATCGGGAGGCATACGCGTTTTGGGGTAGATCCTTTGAACTGGAAAAGTTTCATTGTAATCGGTGAGATGGCATGTATCACGACTGCCTGGTGCTCTCGTGGACACGTTCTTAAGCACATTTTCGGGCCTTCATCAAAGCCTATGAAACAGGAGCCCTAATGTACGTTAGCGATTTATATCATGCAGGCGGGGCTTCAACTTCAGTTGTGTTTGGTTTCTCCTTTTTGCCTTTTTTAGGCGAGCGGATGGAAACACAAGACAAGCGCGGGGGAGAACTACCTTCACTCCTCGCACGTGTCTTGCCCCTGGTGCTTGACTCATCCTTGCTAGCGTGGATAACGAAGATAGAAAGTTGCCCCGTATCTGACGCAATTATTCGCAATTGACATTTTTCATCGATAATAGTGCAATGAAAGTCAATAGATTATCGTTATTATCGTCATCATCATCATATATCATCATATTACTATTATTATTATTATTATTATTATTATGGCTATTACGAAGGCTACTACTCCAACGGAAGCCTCTGAGAAGTAGTTTCGTGCACCTATAGCTTCAGACTGCCAACTGCAGTGATCCGAACGATAATTTATATACAACTGACAAGTGTTTCTCCTAAGTGCGAGTCTGTGCATCGCAGGCGAACGTCTGCATCGACACTACGAATAAAAAATTTGAGTACACCTTTTTCCTTCTTTTGGAAATCTTTGAATGGATGTTCTTTCTCACTTACCAGCATCCCACGGATAAAGTTTCCTGATAATAGTTTTTTTCCACGTACAATTCCCATCACACAGGTTTATTCGGTCAACGCCAACGTTCCAATCAGGACTTGGAAACATCTTTGCCAGAGCTGAGACCAGGTTACGTCTGTTGTCCGCTTTAAATGTGGTTGAAACCTTGCCGACACCTCTATATAACATGGACGTCTTGATTATGCTGAGAATTCAGACAAAAATTACATGTTCAGACAAATAAGTTACACAAAAAGGCGATTCTTGAAAAATGTTTCACAGGATTCCATTCCATGCTTTTCTTCTCTGTTATTTCATTTCTCAAAAGTTCTAGCTCATTTAAAGAGATGAAACTGGCTTCATCAGATAAAAAATCTTCAATTTAAAAATTACGTGAAAATTTACTTAGAAGCATAATGCAAGTGCCATTCTAGCCGTTGAGAACAAAGGCTATTCATTTTCGCTTGGCTTTATTTTGGAGTAGGACAAGGATAATGAGAGAGAGATGTGCGCGCCACAATCAAATGAAAACTAAAAGGAAAGCGAAGTGACAAAGGGAATGCTGAGGAGAAAAATGAAATCGTTAGAAACTTTCACAAAATTTTGAAATAGTTACAGAAGAGGAGGTCTTAAACGAATCGAAATCCGATGGTTTGGGAATCTACATGCATCAGAAAATTAAAGAAAACAGAAACATTTCGAGAAGAAGAGTCTTAACACATTGTCTAAAGCAATCATGGTTCTTTATTGGCTCAGAGAAACTTATTCTATGATATTGGCTACTCTAAACAGTTGAAACTGAAGGCGAGAATTAGTAAAGTAGAGGAAGCAGTTTTTCAGTTTTTCGATTTATTATCTAGGATTCATTTGTAATTTTCAAGTATTGTTAAGTTTTTGTAAATAATTGCGTAATTCAGCCTTTGGCTGCGATGCAGTTTTTGATAAACTATCTATTTTAAATTTATTTAAATTTATTTTATCTACTACTGTACGATGACATTTTGCGCAAACTTCACCTGTTAAGGCTTACCTGTGCACTTTGTCTCCTTGAAAATTGATGATATTGGCTACTTTTAACAGTTGAGACTAAAGGCGAGAATAAATAAAGTAGAGGAAGCAGAATATTTACTGCTATACGATGACATTTTCCGCAAAACTTCACCTGTTAAAGCTTACCTGAGCACTTTGTCTCCTTGATTTTCCATCTCCTTTTTTAGCTTCTCGACGGCTCCCCATTCACTAACCCTTGTAACCCCGGGGGATGCCATCCCCCCGTATTGCCATACGATGTAGTCCTTACTGTGTGAGGAACCAATTAAAGGTGACCAGCGCGCCATTCGCCCAGGAAAATGCCGAGGATATGTAGATTTTGTCCATTTACCTTAGAGGAAAATAATCTGTAAGGTATTGGCTATCTTTATGTATGCGTTCCAGTCTATACGTAAGACTGAATTAAACAAACATAGAAAATAAGCATTCAATATGTTTGTCACGTCTCTATAAAATAGTCGACAAAGCAACACATGCTGATGATTTTACGTTGCAACAGATATTTCGATGTGACCACATCTTCTCCAGTGTGTTTATAGACCGGTTGAGCTAATGACAAAACGACTTAACAAGGTATGCATCTTTACCAATGGTTATAGTTAATTAACCACTATTTGGGACGAGTAACAAAGCGAGGTGGTGAAAAACCGGTATTTCTAATTTCACTCCTCTTCCCCATCGTATTTTAGTCATTGTTATTCTTATTTGTGATTAGTAACTCTTGTATATTGTGTTTGAAAAGCCTCCTTTGGGGAAAGTCAATAAAGTATGTATGTATGTATGTATGTATGTCTGTCTGTCTGTCTGTCTGTCTGTCTGTCTGTATGTATGTATGTATCCCCCTCGCTTTATCACTCGTCCCAGATTTTCCACCCGTCCAATATGGCGACCGCGCTGAATCTCGCACTTGAAGACACAAACTACTGCCTAAAAGCAGGCTTAATACAGAACCACATCCAAGAGCAACAAACCAAAGATGCTTCGCAAGCACAAGCATTGAAAAATATTGGATCAATGTTAGTATCTGAGCGACTGCGCAACTACCGCTCCCCTCAGTGACCCAGAATTAACCCTAGCTTGTTATCAGTTGACTGTTTTTGGTTTAGGGGAGGGGTGGGTATGCAGTTTCTAAAATGCTGGCATTAATCCGAAACATATCATAACGTTACCAGTAAATGTGATGTCGTAGCTTGCTCCTCCACAGGCACAGCAGGTAAATTTGTCGTCGCTGCCCTTTCCGTCTTTCTCTGTAAACATAATGCCGTATATTTTTGAAGCTGGACAAAAGGTTTATTTTAAGTCTTTCTGTCGGTCATTGCAAGGTTGGGTGAGAGTCTGAGCTAAGTAGAAAAGTCAAACTATTGAAAAAAACAAAATAAAATCGCTCATTCTGGAAGGTTTACTAATGTGTTGTTTGAGAGCCCGTAAACTCGTAGAAAGGCCTTTCCTCAAGTTGAAGCGTTCATCAAATTTAGTAAATTCTTGACAGACCCTATTTATAAAGTTTAGCTGTTTATAACATTTGAGAGACATTGTCACAAGATTGACGGCACGTGGGTGGGTTCAGAATTATGTTTGGTGGCCCTAACTCGGTGGCCCATACCTTGCCACGGCCGCGCGCACATCCTCGTGATCAAATGTCGGCTATGAGCGAGGGAATCAGTTATGGTCAATTTCCACGTCACTTATCCTTTACAACTCTCGTTCATGCAAAGAGTTTTGACTGGTATGTTCTACATCATCGATAGATTAGCCCTTACTCCAACGACCCAACGAATAAAAGCCATAAGCAAATAAAAAAGGTTCAGGTTTTTTGCATTCTACGCAGAAAATAATTTTAAAAATCGTCTTCGATTTGAGCATCTTGAAAGAGTTAGCTGATATTTTTCAAGTCCATAAAAATCTTCCTTTTTCCTAACCTTTCTGTATGGTTCGGGCAATTTTCAATCGAGTGTCGAAAGCAATCCGGGATTGCTTTACTTTTGCATTTCTTTGCTCTGTGATTGGTCCAGAAAACTCGAGCCGTCCTTTCAACCAATCAGATGCAAAGTGAGACCAATCACTTTATACTCGGTCGCTCGCAATTTCCCGCTCTTTAAGCGGTGTGGTCGGTTTCACTTTGAGTTCTCATTGGTTCTTGAAGCTATTCTCCTTTAACAATAATAATAATAGTAATAATAATAATAATGATCTTCTTATATAGCGCTGTTTCTCTACTGAACCAACAGCACTTTACAACAGTGAATGATGTAGCATTAAGAAAAAAACCTGAAAAACAGTTAATGATTCTTACATTTTAAAATAATTTCTAAAAAGATACATGTTAAGAGTAGATTTAAAAAGATTCTGTTGACTTGCAACGTTTTAAACTTAATGGGAGGGTATTCCACAGTTTTGGGGCAATGAGGGGAAAAAGCTCGCTCCCTTTATGTTTTGAGTTGGCAGCGGGGTTGTACCAGTGGTTCTTTATCAGACGAATGTAATGTCTTTGATAGTCTATAGTGAATTAAGAGGTCACTAAGATAGGATGGCGCTAGATGATTAAGACATCTAAAAGTCGTTGGTAAAATTTTAAAACGAATACGTTCATGAACGGGTAACCAATGCATATCTCCTAGAACAGGTGCAATGTGCTCGTGTCTAGGTGAGCCTGTTAGAGCTCGGGCTGCTGAATTTTGGACATACTGGAGTTTTCGGACTTGATCCTGCCTAAGACCTGGGAGTAGTATATTATAGTGGTCAATCTTGGATATTACGTATGTGTGGACCAAAGTTTCACGGTGACGGAAAGAGATATGTTTACTGATTTGAGCAATGTTGCGCAGGTGGTAAAAAGCAGACTGACATATACTGTTTATTTGTTTGTACATGAACATGAAAGTGTCGAGCCACACACCGATGTGTTCTTCGCTGAGTTCGATAACTAGATTACATCTGAGTAAACAAGAGTAGATTCTAGCGGGGCTTGTGGTCGATGACGGGCTTACAAAACAAGGAGCTCAGGTTTGTCATGGTTGAATATCAACTTATTGGCTGACATCCAATTGTTTTAACAATTGGATGTCAGCCAATAAGTGAATGCATGACTCAGTGCGCAGTTTGGATGTAGTTGGTTCAGTTCGCCAGGCTCACTTGGCTTAAAACACAAATAAATTTGGCTATCATCAGTATAAAAATGATGTTTCATGTTGTGTTTACTGATGAGGTGAGGTGTACATGGAATATAGGATGGGACCCAGCACTGAGCCCTGGGGAACACCACAAGAGAGATGCCGGCTTGATGAGCGCTCCGTCCCGATCTTTACGAACTGGGTCCTGCCAACTAGATAAGACTGTATCCAATCTAAGGCTTTCCCAGTTATTCCAAAGCGAATAATTCCTTTCTTGTGATTGACCGCTTTGATCACTTTGTTTTTGGTTTTGCACACTCAATGGAAAAGCTTTCTATCTTCACTAAAATTGGCAGTCTGTAGGAATCCTAATACCTCTGAAAGCCCGACACCACTGAAAAATGTCTCAATATATCGCGACATAACCACTTAACTACTGGAGAAATATTGAAAGAGAGATAATGGTGTAATTTAGCCGACGAGATAAACAAGAGCTATACATAAACGGGACAAGTTCTTTGGCTTTTACACGCACGCAGCCATTGAAGGTCTTAAGACACAATTTAAAGGATTAGTCAATAAGCTTGACTTGACGATGTGGAGTGTTTTAGAAATTACAGCGCTCTCTACACCATAATCTAGTCTCTGTTTACTTGTGTGTATCAAGAATATATCTTTACAGACAGGACGAGAAACTTGTTCAAGCCAAAATCATAAGTGGAGTTTCTATGCCTTATCAGATGATGACCAACAAAATCCTGATAAGATCCTGAAACTCTTAATTAGTATTTTTGCCTTAGTTGTTCAGATCATGCTTCGTCATTTGCACAAATATTGCTTCCAATGTCAAAAATATGCAAGGATTGTTTCGTAGAGTCAGCAATATCTGGCCGGGGTTGTTGTTATGACGTAACGCGTTTGATCGAATATAGAAGGTCATGACTTATTCCGGTTTCAAGTGCATGACTTGTAATCGCGATAACAATAGAATTTCTTAAAATATGTCATTACATAGCACTTTTTGAACAAGTAGAGTCCAAAAAAATTATCTTTTTAGTATCTTAAAATTGAGTGACATTCGTCGGCCAGATTTCCGGTCCAAGAACGGAACGCAGAACTCAAGAATTCTTGACAAGACTACAAGGTAGTCCTATTTTAGGCTCTTGTAACTTGCTGCATAAAATTTCTGCGCCTCCGGCTTTTTCTAAAACAGTATAACAACAAAGAGAGATATCTTTGATCGAAGTTATTTAATGATGTTTTTCGAACGGTTAATCCTTCGGTTTGGAATTTCTGCTTCACCGCAATTCAATCATTTAAAATAGTTTACAATTCGTTCGAACACTTAATCGATGACCACAAATATATCGTAAATTCCTCGACGGGCTCGCTCATTCGATTAATACTGAAAGCCCTTCTATTAGGTGCAACTATTCTGAGATATGAATCATGCTCTTACAAAGTCAAGGTTACTTACCCTTCGTCACTTTATGACTGTCAATATATATTAACTAAAACGTTCCAAAATAACCCGCCGCGCTATGAAACGAAGATTAGCAACTAACATGTTTGGTTTCAGTTTACATAACCCAGGTTCGACAGTCGCGTCCATAAGGTGATCTCACATTGGATAATCTTGAGAACGCACGTGAAGTAAAAATAAAACAGTTTCCGCAAAAAAAGTGAATTCAAATAATTTTGAAGTGTGTTTAATCATCTTGAGATATTGGCAGTGACCATAGTTTACAACATTTATTTGCTGATCTGTGAAATTCTGGCTCGTGAAGCCACGCAGTGATAATGGTTTAGAAATTTCATAAGGCAGTAAAAATAAAGTTTCTCGAAAACAAAAAATGACAGCCGTGATAAAACGAGGAACTAATTCCTTTAATTCGAAGTTAAATCTTAGGAATGTAAATTTATCCTCTTTCACGGTGAAACTTTTTTGTGAACGATATGCGTAGGTAATTGGAAAATGTTTGCTCTTTTCGCTTGGTTTCACTTGAACCCAACAAAGTTCCGTGCAGCTTGACACGATTACCTAACGGGAAATTTTTTTTTGTAAATGATAAGCGTATGTAAAAGGAAAACCGACGGTAATTATCCTAGAATTTTGTCCATATTGCCAACTTCGTTTGATTCCAATCTACAGTAACGAGCAGCTTGACACAGGGACCGTTACAATCACACTAAACCAGAAATGCCCCATTAAGAAAAGCAAACTGCAACAACAAGGAAATTGTGTACGTCTGATTATTTCCTAAAAGTGTGGAAAACAAAACTGTGCGTATCCTGTGTCCAGCTGATTACTTGAAAGCAATTATTGACAAACTTATTTTCGATGCAAACTTAATTCACGTTTTTATGACGCTGCCAGTCAAAGTGTGACCGAAAAATGTGTTAATCTGTTTATGTTTCTTTAAAGAGATGACCTACAAAAACCATTTGCACTGAGTTTCTTGCAAGAGACAAAGACCAAACAATTGATAAAACTACAGCTGGCGCAAAAGACCCCCGCAAAAGAAACAAACAAAGCTATTTCTAAAGGAAAACAAGAACAACCTCCAGACACCCTATGCAACCATTGTTTCGCCGCACCGCGCCTAGAAAGTAATTTTCCATTTTTCACTTCTTTACGATGAAAAACAATGCTTGCAATAAGAGATAAAAAGTTAGTGTACTGTTCCAAAATTGTCAGTTGATTCTGGCTGCGGTAGGTGGAGTTGATAGTCAAAGAGATCCGCAAGTCGGAAAATTGGACGAAAGAAATCTTACACCGTTTCAAAGCTAGCCCGCCGATGTTAAAATGCCGACTTGTATCGTATTGCGTTTTTGCTTAGTTATAGAGGTGAGATGCGGCGGGCACACGTGCGGCTGTTGGCGTAAGCTTTTTTCTCCTGACGTGACGGGAGAGTTCTCCGGAAAGCGATGATTTTTCTTTCATAACGTCCGGCTAAACTATATGTCTGGTGGCTGATTTGGCTCCGAGCAGAGAACGACGGAAGCAGTAACTTTGTTGCATGCCTCGTAAACTACACGCCTTCTAATCTGGGATAATCGGGGTGGTATTCAAGTGCTAAATGTTGGGACTTAAAAATCAATTCAAAGGATATATTTTTTCAGAAAATTAGCAACCCTTTGTAAAAATGCCATGCCCTCATTCTTTTGTAAACTTTAATGGCTGAGAAACACCCAAAGGGGCGCAATAAACACGAGGTTGGGTTCAAAATAGTTTGGCTTTTGTAAGGTCACGGCATTTAGTTTATAAAAAAAATGTTGTGGGTAACTCTGCACGCGAACATCTTCTCGATCGCGTTGTAAAAAATTATTGTGATTGTTTTGTGCCGAAATTTGCCTGAGGGCGAATTACCCCACCGAAACCAGATGGTTATGGTGAAACTGCCATAGATGCATCTTCGAGCATGTTTAATAAAATGAAAAAATAAACGTGTGTGTATGTTGAGTGCCGTGTTATTGCTTTGATTTACCTAAAGCAAAGGTAAAGCGATGTCATTTTTTCTGCGTGGGATCTGTCTTGAAAATTGCCTGGTTGCAGAAGATGTTGTACTGATTGATGGACGTGGATATGGTGTCTACGCTGAGTTAAAAATGCGCGCATTGCAACGATAGCGAGTTTCGTTCGCGCACGACTTGCAGAGAGCACACTCTTTTCGCGCTCAATAGAGAAAAGATTTCTTTAAAGCACTTTTCAAAGACTTTGCAAACGAGCGATCATTTAAAGCTCATCACGGCTAACCACGTCTAACCACACGCTTGCTTATGGAAGGAAGAACCATCGATGGAGCTTAATATATCAGAGCAAAAACAACAGCCGATGACAGATAACAGCATGGTGTATGGTTTTTTCCCACTCACGTCGAAATTCCCCGTGAAAGTGATTTTTATTTTGGAGTCTTTTCAACTTCTAGGCTTCTTCCAGTGCCGGGGTAAATGAATTTCAGACGTCTACGATATTCTGTTTTTAAATGATCCTCTCACCATGGAAGCCATGGAATGGATACGAGACGTGAGCCATTTTATAACTATTTTATGCTTCTAAAGCAATACAGAAACCAATTTACAGGCATAGCATCTGCGTATTATTCATATTTTCAACGATGTTTTAATTATGGCTGGAAAGCAATAATCAAAAACGTTCTTGCCCGATGATACTTTGGTGTTTCGAAATTCAGCTTTAGCAGACTATGAAGAATGGAGATCCCAAACGGCCCGGAGAAGGGTCAGTATTCACACGATATTTATCCTGTATGACTTCGGATGCACTGTAATCTTTGCGCACTTTAAATAGACTCGCTGAATCAAACAGGACTGAGTAAATAACTATTTTTGAGTGATTTCCTCGGTGAAAATTAGCGAAGAAATTTTTCGTAGTTTCGGGATGAGAGCTAAGAGCGCGCACCTCAAAATCCGTTTTATAGTTACCTAAAATCAACAGTGGTTTGTTGCGATGCAAAAGTGCAGCTGATGATAACAACCAGAGATTTAAAAACGCCACGCAACTTACCAGAACCGTTCTGAGAAATGGAAGAACACTTTTTATCGTTACATATATTCCCTGTGACGCGAAGACCCGCGAAGACTTCAATGCACAGAACAACAATCGCGCACAGTCTCATCGCTGCAGAAGACGAGCAAGTCCCAGGGGAAGTGACACAGTGGTATTGATTTTGAACTGTTCGATGCTGTTGATGATTTACACTGTACTTGAGCCGTTGCGAGGTTTAGTGTTGCCCTTAAGTTATCTGCATACAGATATGACCTACTTATTGACCAAGCGTAACTGTTTTTATAAGGCATTGACGGAAATTTGAGTAATTGCTTGGGTACGTACATACCGGAAGACGCTATTTATACCCAATACACACTTTGGCTTCAGCATTCCACTTTGTTGAGCGCGGCGTCAATTTGTGAGCCAGTATTGAAAGACCGGTAAACTTGAAAAAGAATAACATCACCAAGCAATAAATTACCAAAAGGCTACTAATGTAATTTCAACACATGAAACAGCTCACCGGAAGTGAAGTTACGCTCTTCTGATTAACAGTGGGGAGCGAATCTTTTGTAAATTTCAAGCAATAACAGTTTCTCTGCGTAAATATTTTTACTAGCGGTAGAATGTGCATTGAGCGCACGTATATCTCAGTGTATTTATGTCTATGAGTGGGGTGATCATAAAAAATAGCAAGGGTAAAAATAACTCGAATTTTTGGATCTGTAAAATTTCCTCGAGTCGGGAGGTAAAATCGATGGTATTTAAGCTATCCCAGCCAAAAATTCTTTATAAATATGATCTCGGCTAGGCGCAATGGAAAGGTAAGAAATGCGAATATTTACCCTTTATTACCTACGCTAAAATAAAAACCCTTTTTTTCGATAGATAACCAAGCTTTTAAATCCTCGCTAAAGATCTGATGAAAGATGCTACAATAATTTCAGCTAATCGGGAGACATACGCTTCTAAGGAGTCATTTGACTGACAATTTATCTGGTGTGAAGTGCCGCTCAGAACATTCTTGACAAAAAAATATGTGCAAAGCATTTCTTGCAAAGCAAAATATGTTTTATGTACAAGGGAGGATGAAGCATCACGGAGAACTGTCTGGGAAATAAAACTTTGTCTTGCGGTCAGTTATCAAATTACGTTTTGAAGTGTGGTTTTTCTGCAAGTTTGGTATAACGTCACATTAAGTGCTCAAAACTTTTTTTTAATCTCCATTGTTTTAAATCAGGCCAAATCTATGCAAGCATGAATAGTGAATGTATTCTCGAAGGAATAATAACCAATTTAATTAACAAGTCGCGTACAAAACTTCGGATAAGGTGTGTAGTCTAAGAATTGTAAAACATCTTTCATTCATGTTCAACATGAACACAGTGGCATACTTTACATTTTATTTCCTTCTTATGTGGCAGATTTGTGTAACTGATGTCCCGGTTGAGAAAACACAAACGGGCGTACATTTGCAATCGCTGGCCAGTACAAGATTACAAGAAATCCGGAAATAGGATGGGGTATAAATTATCCTCTGGGGGTCCATTTACGTCTTGGCTTAATTAAACGTTGCGCTAATTAGCACAGGAAATGACTTAACTGATTTTGTAGTAAGTGGTAAAAGAAAAGGTTTTTCTGGTGTGAAAAGCTTCCAAAATTGGGAGACATTTTTTAACCGCAAAAAAACTTAGATCCCATCGTTATGAGTAGGCTTGTTTAGTGCATGAGTTTTGTAAACGTGAATGTGGGCGTTGTTTTTATTCTGACGCAAATTGCTTCTTAGAAAATGAGTTGAAAGGTTAGAGTGCCTAAAATTCCTTCAAAGAATATTTACTGCATGGATTAATTGCCTACCCCGCCCGTGATTTCACTTTACATTTAGAGATTACTGGACAACTAAATGACTCAAACTGATCGGATTTTAAAATAATTACCATCTGGGTTCATGTTAGCATTCATTACAAACTTCGCGCGATTAAGTTCGAAGAAGGCACTAAGAAAGATGTAACGTATATGTACTATATAACTCATTCAATTTCCCAATCTTCAGAAGAATATAGTAATCAGCCTGTAAGGGCGTCTACTATTTTGCTCAATACTCCAGAGGAAAAAACACTAACTTGTCGGGCCTGGACTTCCAAATGGCTCGTTCAACAGTTTAAGTAACGTTTTCAGAGCCTTTGAATCACTGATCAGCTGAAGCCTCACACGTTTCTCTGCAAGATCATTTTAGGCTTAAGTCATTGGTGACAAAAAAAGTATCATGAGTTTATGTGTTTATCTTTTACATCATGTTTCTCTTACTATGATAAAAGATTAGTCATTGTCTATCATGCGGCAGGTTAACAAACAATGTTGGGTCTTAGACGTGTTTGTAGTGTAGTTTTATTTTTTAGGAAGCCGCGCAGCAGTTAATAGCTAACGACCCCACGGGCTCCCTGGCTCATGATGAAAAGCTGATAAGTCACTTGACCTAACAATATTTGCCTTCCTCGCAGATCAGATGCACTCTTTTGTCCTGCCGCTCCGTTCCTTGACGTGTCCGCCCCAATTTCGTGACAAAGTGAAGAGGGATCAACAACGGAAAATGTAAAGGCTGTTACCAATTGCGGCAAGAAATTTCCGTCTTATCTGTGATGAACAACGACAGGCACTTGAAAGAAAAAACACTATCACGAAGAACTTAGCTACTTCAACTGATGCCCGAAAAATGTACTCTTTACCTGTATAGCTGTGTGATTTATCTTCATGTTGAGTCAGCGTTTGTTCTCATTAAAGTCAGGTCGGACAGCCGGCCCGTTGTAACCTATAACCTCTACAACCATGTCTTTGTATATATAGACCATTTACAAAGAAACGTTTTCTGTTCTGGAAATACTCTCTGTTGAGTTGTTTGTCAGTAACGTAAGTTATTTATGGGCTACATCATTAATATCACTTGGTAATCTCAGCAAGTAGCTTGTTAGATTAACTGTGGATTAGGTAAGGCGAGCTCTTTACCTCAACAATGCAAAACACATGCCTACCCTGATTTTTCCGAAAAACCGATTTGCACTAATCCAATGAGATTAGGAATGAACCCAGCATTGTTTCAATTTAGCTGTAACAGTCAATTATCCATTATTACAATTAGTGAATCAAATTATCAAAAGCGCTATGGTGTTCAACCGGCCTCACTTTAGCGTGCAGTTCTGCACTAAACTGGAGCTTCTGGAGTGATGTATCGGGTCCCAAACCTGTCATCTCACGAACGTTTTGTTACTACTGAAATACATTACAAAGTAGTCTGAAGGTGCCATTCAACTGCCTCGATTGCTCCGCCGACGAATCTTTGTGACAAGAACCTAATCACCTCAGTGAAATAGCACAGCTAAAACACATTACTTAATTGAAAACCAATTAACTAGTAATTTGATGTATATAAAGTTTTTTTGTCTTACGAGCATTGGTATGATTACTGAAGTAATGAGCTCGAGCTAATGCGACCTTCAAAGTGGCCTATATGTGAAATAGAGGAACTAACTGATTGAGTCAGTCAGTCAACAATTGCATTGATTGTGAGAAGCTTGTAAACATGTAACAAGCCATAATTTGTGGCATGGCTTTCTAAGCCGGCGGTCAGACAGGAGTTCTTCGCATTCTGTCTAACCCAAAATGTCTGCTTCATCTTTGACTGAGTTCGGAATGGGGGAAGGAACAATGCCAAATAGGGAAGGAAAAAAAAAAGAAAACAAACCTCTTCAGTCTCCTGCGGGCAAATCCAGGGTTCGAGAGCTTCAAGTTGTTTTCATGTTTTGAAACACCTATTTGGACTACGGTTGAGTTTCTTTCCAAGAGGTTGGTATCCAAGTTGAATAAACGATCTATCTCAACTTAACTCAAATATCTGTTTTTACGCTTTGAGGGAAGCCACAGAAAATTAGATTGATAATATAGAAAGACACAAAAAAAAAATGGACTTGATGAACTCAAAAGGAGCGAGATCAGTTTAAGGAAATGGGAAAGACTGAATCGGATTATTGACGCCCAAATTGAAAGAGGTTTAGGCTTACTTTTTCGCAATACACGCACAGAGATGTAGCTTCTTCATTTTGAAAGTAAAATTGAATCCCTCGTTCCATTTACCTTTTGAGTTTTCTTTAATAATTAAAAATATCTTCAATAAAATGGTTTTATTCAAATTTCAGAAGGATTCTAATGCACCTGAATTAGTTTACATAGATAAAAGATCGATCCCTTAATTGAGGTGTGTCGCATTTTCTAGAATGCTCTTCCCAACATCAGTAGAGCATACGTTGTAGATATTTGTGGGACTATAAAAAGTATGGTCAGGAAATCTAATTTTTAGAGTTCCTTTTTAATTATCAATCAAGCGTTATTTATGGAAAATAAGAGTACTCGTCTGCCTGGAACTCATCTATCCTCAAATACCTTGGGCGGAGGACTAAGTTGACAACTAAACAGAACCTGCCGTAAATAAAATGCATTACTTCTGTGGTCAAAACTCTTTTGCCGCCGCCGTGAATGCTAATTATTTAACCAAAGAACAGAAAAAGGAAACTGTTTAAGGCACATTCCCTGCACGGTATCTTGCTTATATCCATGACACTGCCGAATTAAAGGTTCATATATGGCGATGACTCATTGCAAGAGACATTGTAGAAACTTGGATACAGCAGTTCCATTTATTGACTCTTGAAAAAGCTGGACATCGCTCGTCATCCGAAAAATAGAACTCCCGCCCAAACATCAGTATCCGACTAGAATTTCTAGTTTCATGGGGTGCCAGCAGCACGCGTAATGAATCTTGAAAATCCCATTTGCGTGTAAAGGTCCTATTTTTAGGTTTCTGGAGCCACGCTAAGTTTATTCGTAGCTAATTCTTTGGTCGATGAAAATATAAGAAAATCGATGTTCCCCGGTTGAAAATGAGAAAGGAAAGCTCCAAATGATATTTTACTGGGTTGAACAAACATCAACAAAGTTGTTAGGGGAAATCAAATGGGAACAAAAGCGAAAAAATGGGGATGAAGGACGCTTGTGGTTATTGAGAAACCATGATTTCATAAGGTGCTTCTTTTGTGCGTTCTGAGCTTCTGTACAGATTGTAGATCTCACTCAAGGGTAATGTACAAAGGTAATTTTTTTAAAAATGTGCGTAAAGGTGTAAAAGATCAGATTTTTAGAATTGTCTTTCCTATACTGGCTGACTGGTTGCTCAGTTCTAATTTCGCGTGGGCCGAATCTTTCTTTACTGCTGGTCATTGTTTTTAAGTACCATCAATTTTTTTAAAAATGTGCGTAAAGGTGTAAAAGATCAGATTTTAGAATTGTCTTTCCTATACTGGCTGACTGGTTACTCAGTTCTAATTTCGCGTGGGCCGAATCTTTCTTTAATGCTGGTCATTGTTTTTAAGTACAATCAAAGTGGTCTAGAATGAACTTTGAGCTTCGCCCATTCCGTTCACGCTAAAGAATAGAAATTCATGAGTGTTTTAAGTGTTATTACTGATGTAAATTTCATGACGTTTCCGACTCAGTCGTGCGATAAACAAGACCACCATAACGACAATAGTGACACAAAGAAAATGTTTGCCGTTCAGGAGAGCGTGAGTCAGCTCTTCAAGTATATAACGAGTTGGAACATCAAATGATTTGTTTAATGTAAAAAATGATATTGAAAATGGTGCAATAAACGGTAATGTTACTTTGCGAGTAACGTACGTGGACTAGGACTAGCTATGGAATGGTGAAACGAGGACGTATTATCGTGCAGAATTTTGCAGAGAATCTTTATCATTTTGCAACAAAAAGCACACAAAGCTCTTTAGGCTATGCCATTGACGTAGGTAATCAGTGAATCGTGAGGTTTGTGGCCCTATTTCCGTGGTGCAGAACACTTTATCAAAAAAGTATAATTCTCTGAAATTCCTTTTTTATTCGAACTGATCTGATGTCAGTGTTATTACGAGAAAACAGGCTGTGCTTTTAGTCAACCAATAGTTATCCAACTGAATCCAACTGCATTACCGTTCAAATTACATTTCGGGTTTCTCAGCTTTCTAATCTTAGTAAAGTACGATCTTGTAGCTTATTAAAAAAATGCGGATAATTGGGTTTCGGAGTAGAAATGTCCCGATTTGTGAGTAAAGCGCGACAAATTTTGTCACTTTGGTACAGAAGCTATTAACATAACATGCGTCCATCGCAATGGTTTGGTTTGAAAAGAAAAGACTCACTGATATTTGGCATTGCATATATCGTATCCTGGTGCTCAATCCATCTGATACCGGCACTTCTCACAGGGTGGGGGTGGGGGACGTCTTAGAAAAGCCATCATGATACATGACAAAAAGACAAAGGAGGCTTTCAGCCCCCTTTGAGAAAACCGAACGCCATTCTTGCTACACTTGAACTGAGTACTTTATGTAGAACTGACGTCTAAAAGTTAAATAATTTAATACCACTGCTTTAATGAGACAAGGAGGTGAGAAAAAGAGGAGTTGTGTACGTGGATGGAGTATATTCTCGAACTAATTGCACTCAAGTAGGCGAGGACACTCGATCAACAAGAGGAAGACTAGTAAACTGATCAATCATTTCCGACCCCACCAGAGGACAAGCTGCAAGAAATTAAGCTTTTTGACAAATGCGAGATTATTTCAACTAATCAGCTTTGGACTATTTTAAAATTGGGCTTCAGCCCAGAAAACTCTCTAGGGTAAATTTGATCCGGCCAAAGGGCAAACGCCACATCAGATGTCTAGGCACGTAGGGGTTTGTTCCTTAGTAGACCCCAATACCCCAACGAGGAATTTTGTTCAGCTTTGACTGCGTATTAAAGTTTAAACTCGTTGATGGGAAATAGCGCAAAAATAGAACTAGGATGGGCTTCATTTATAGCTTTATGAGCAATATAAACGGAAAAGATCGATACAAACAATACAGGGAATTGAGATCTGTTTTTGTTTTTGTTTTTGTTTTCCGAGCGATTTGTCTAAGAGGGTCAAAAGGAAGAATTAAGTTGTTGAAACGTCTTCAAAAAGATTGCTCCTTTAGCCTGGATATCATCTTTGGTGCGCTGAAGGACATAGAGTACCTACAAGAGGCCTCCACTGTGATTCTAAGCTGTTCAACTGATCCCACCAAAATTGTTAACCGCAGTGTCCCTTTTCCTATGTTCTCTTTAACTAGAAAAAGGAAAAATTCGTCTAGTGAAACCGTTTCCCGACGCAAGGCTAACGGTGGATAAAATTTCCGTTTTTGTCATCAAAGGCTTCATCTATCGGCACCCTCGAGTTTCTGGTCATGTTCTCCTTACAGGTTCAACGAGAGTTAATTAATGGAAGGAATTAACTCTGATTCAACTATGGACAGGTTTTGAACCATATCCTATGAAACTATGTCGGAGACTGGAACCAAACTTGGTTTGCGGGGATTATGGGATATATTAGGTTGCGGGGTGTGCAAAATGGCGGTGAAGGAATTCTTACATGGTCGAAGTTGAAACGAAATTAACGGTGATTGTAATCTTTTACGAACTTTATGGCATCGGAGGATAGAGGATTAGAACTGGAGGATGGGGAAATCAACGACCTTGAAGATGGTGAAATAGATGAAGATGTACCTCCAGCAAGGGAGTCAAATAACAACGATTTGTCCCTCTTATTAGGACATCGTCATGATCAGCACTCAATACATGAGCAGTACCCAAGCGATAACTCATTTGAAACGAAGAATCGTGACTTTGGATTTCAAAATTCCAACCTCCCACCTGGTTGGTGGGAAACACGAGGTGGATCTTTCGGCTCTTTTCGGGGAAGATTTCCTCGACACAGAGGCCGGGGGAGAGGGAAAGTATTTCGCGGAAATGGACGAGAAAAAACTTATCCCGCGAAAAGAGGAAATTCACGCAGACGTATCCTTTTATGTATTGAATATTTTCGTCTTTTGTGTGTGTGTGTGTTTGTTATCTTTTTAACGGAAAGGTGGATGCCTGAATTTATTAATGATTTAACACTACATTAGCTGACCTGACTGTGCAATGACGTCTTAATTATTATGTCAGTTTTGGGAAGCTGGGTTCCTTGCACGTGAGATTTCTGTTTTTGGTTGAGATAATTAAAAAAAAAAAAGTTAATCAAAACTGTGAATAGAGAGTGTTGGAGATCTTGAACAAAACAAAACAAAACAAATTCTACAAATACAAACTAACAAACATATAAAATTAGATGCAGTCAACCAATGATTATGATATTTTATAAATGCTGATCATTATCAATACGAGAAATTTAGCCAATGCATTTCTTACGATCTGGCTAGTTGTCAGTTGTGATCAATCATCAATAAGAAACAATTGATATCATAAACTTTTGCAATACATATATCTTATTAACCAAGCGCGAGGGCCATACTGGGAGAATATCGGCCTGAAGTCTTGACAGTAAGTACCGAGCACAGCGAGGTCGGTACAAAAAAGACCGAGGGCCGATATTCTTCCAGTACGGTCCTGAGCAAGCTTGGTTAATAAGAGATTTATTATATGACTGAAGTTCAAAGGGACACAAGTGAGGTATCATTCGGGACAGTGCCCAGTCCAATACTGAGAGAATATTGACCGGCAATAGGGCATTTTGATTGGTTGATTTTAGTTATTGGCCCTCTGACTGCCCGAGTTGTGTAATAACAGTAGTTATGGAACTGGAAGACCCCTTGGTGACTGCAATTATTGTCCTCATTTAGCATTGCTACAAATCCTCAACTTCCCCCTAAAGGACAAATGAATAAAGAGGATAAGTTTCTAAAAAAAAAAAACTGGTGCTGCCTCAGAGGGTTTTAATACGAAATAATTTGGTTTTACCTACTAAATCTGACGTTTTGAGTGTTAGCCCTTTGTTAGAATGAAAAATGAAAGGCTAACAGTTGAAATCTCAACTGAAGAAATTCTTAACAGTGGCAAATTTACATGATCAACTCAGTTAATAAAACTAAATTATCTTGTTTCCCCCTACACTGTTCTGTACACTATGGAAGGGCAAAAATTTCATCTCATCTAAACTGGCCTATCAATTCACATGGTAAATTTGAGATATAATAAAAAAGAAGACAAATTGAATATATCTTAACAGATGTTTTGTGGTGTGGCATCACTGAGAATTTTTAGGAGTTGTGTTATATTTTAACGAGCCTGAAGGGCAAGTCAAAATACAAATAATGAGTTATTTGTACTCTACAGAGTGTAGTTGGATAGTAATTCATACTAACATTCACCTTTCTTGAAACAACTTAGTAATTCAAGTTTGGCTAACAATTATGATTTTTCCTCACTCAAATGAATTAATTGAAAAGAACAAGTACAGTGGATTGACCATGTCACTTTCGTATGATTGATTGCAATTTTCTTGTGCTATTTGCATATAGCTTTACATTTGAAGGGCACCATGTTGTTGCACATGCTATTGAGAAATTTGGCCATCTGATTTTTAAAAATATAACTTGTCTTCTGGATTAGTCATGTTTCATGTTGATTATCCTTTTTAGTGAAACAGTTTTGGTGGACTAGGGAGCTTGCACAGAAAATAAGCCTTTTTAGATATACATGTTCAGTGAAGTTTGCTAAGGCTCCCAAAAAATTCCTAAGGCAGTTCAATTCGTGTCATTGTAGTATTCTTGAAAGTCTGACAAATACTTTACAGCAATCAATTTGTAACATCCTGTAAAACTTCTGGCTGGCATAGTCATTAGAAATAACCTCCCTTCTGTCGTTGATAAATTGTTTGTGGAAACAGAGGGAGAAGTGTCAAAACCTTTTATTCAGTTGCAGCTGAGCTGCATTGTTATTTTGTTTCCCAAATCATCACCCAAAATCATCAATATTTGGGGTAGGGAGTGTGGGGAAGAGGGAGGGGAGGGAGAGGAAGTTAATAGAATCAATAGAATCAAATAGGAACTTGCATAACATAGACACTTTCAATGTCCCAAGTATTTTTGCCTCAATCTGTATATCAAATCTAAGGGAATAGTGAAAGTGAGAAGAAGGGATGATGACAGTGGCTTTATGGAAACTGAAACATTATGGGATAAATTTGACAAAACCTGAAACTAAAAGACTAAGAAAACTGAAAAGCAGCACATGATGGTGATCCAAAACTCTATGTATACTTCTTAAAACCTGCTTGAAAATTCGTCAAAACTCTACAAAGGACAGGTGAATTGTCTGCCCCTGGAGTTAGTTCTTTAGGTATAGTATACCCTGCAAATTATTTGTTTTTATTCTTCAATTCAAATTTCAGCCAGATTGAGTGGTGTTATTGCTGTTTAGTGATTGTAGTTACACATATTTTAGATGATCTAATAGATCTACTACACAGTAGAACAACTATGAATCAAATGAGTTTATAACAATAGCTTGTAAATGTGTGCAATCAAAATTCAATAGTGTGACCTGCTTCAATTTCCCATTGTGCATGCCAATGACATCAGCAAACAAATGCTTCACAAAAAAATTTTTTCTCATGGGTGACTTCAGCATTTTTTTAAAAAACGGGGAAAAACTTTGCAAAAAAAGTTAAACTAAACATGGCAACAAGCGAACAAGCCAATGAAGACCTGCCTAATCAGAAAATAAAGTTTATTTACATGCATGAATTCACCTGTCAGTTTTTGACCAATCTAAGGTGAGATCATTGAAGCCTGGAGAAATGCTTTTCCAAAACAAAATAAACAATGCATTGAAGCTTAGAAGAGGGAATTTCTGCCCTTTTTACATAAAGAGTAGCATCAAAAATGTTATAAAACAACTGGTTCATGTGTCAGCTGTGCGTTCATGGAGAATTGAAGCACTAAGGAAGTTCGGAGAGCACTCAGGAAGCTAGAGTTACCCTTGGCTATTCCTCTCGCAACTCTTACGCATCTTTCGTGCTCTTCAAACTTCCTGTTTGCTTCAATTCTTAATGAACACAGGCTGATGCATGAACCAATTGTTAATTAAAACCATTTCAACTGTAAATTATTATAAATTTCCAATATATAAGTGAAATGCTAATTAAAGAGATTTACATGTTCATGTAGTGTTGTGTACATGTATGTTTCTTGTGTTATTTTCTGATGTACAGTGCATGCAGTAGTTCCTCTCTATGAAGTTTATTTGTTATTGCTGTTTTACTGTTCCTCAATCGTTCAAGGATTCTTCTTTTTGTCTCCAACATAACAGGATTTTTCTCAACAACTTAACTGGGTTTTTCTCAAAGACATAACTGGGTTTTTCTTAACAAGGCTGTGTTTTATAGCTTTTCTTCGAAGACCTAATTTACCTTATCCCTTGCCCACTGAAAGACCAAGATCTCCATACCCTGATGAAAGATTACCCTTGTACACAGAGAGTGAAAGAGCAAGGATTGTATCTCCGTTTGAAACCAGACCACGCCCACAACTTGAAGAAAGGAGGCAAGTGTATTTGGAAACTGATCGGCCAAGGCTGCCTCGTCCATCAACTTCAGAGAGACGTGTACAAAGATTACCTCTAATGGAGCTAGAGGAGAAATCACGACAATTCCATAGCGAATCAAGTCCTTCAGCTCCTGATGTCCGTGAAGAACAACCTGGAAGAGTGCCATCCCCTTTTGATGAGGAGGTTGATGATTACAGGATTCTACTACAGCGTCATCGCCTGATTCAACAGCAGCTTGCTGCTCTTGAGAATCAGGAGAACTCATCACTGGGTGATGATACTATCATTGATGACACTTTCATAGATATTCCTGTGGATGATTCAAAACCTGATTTGGTGCTAGAAAATGAAAGGAGCCAAGAAAATTTTGATAGTAGTAGACAGGATGGTTTTTATTTATCAGATGATATGAATCTGCAACACATGGGAAGTGGTAATGAAATTGAGGATTTGGAGAAGGCAAATGAAATATTGGATAATGAATCTACTGCTGAACCAGCACAACCAAAACCATTTCTCCCTTTCAAAATAAAGGCCCTATACAACAATGTACCCTCAGTCAAAGAATTAAGCCAAAAGGATCTGGAACAATGGAAGGTAAAGGGAGGCAATTCAACTGCAATGGAAAGTGGTAGAGCTGATGAACTGGAAAGAACTAGAAAGAGTGAACCAATGTCTAAGATAAGGAAAAATCGCAAGAAGAGAAAGAGAAAGGTTTTGCAAGGATCAGTGCAAAATAGTGTTAACAGTCAAAAGCCTAGAGCTGCTGGTTCTAATCAAGGCGCACATGTTGATCCTCATAATGAATTGGAGGCAAGACTCTTTTCCCTGGCCGGAAGCTCTGTTCCAGTTGAGTCTAACAGGTGCAATGTTGTTCAATGACTTGAGTTTTTGTGGAGAAGTTTCATTTAGGCTGTAACTATTGGTAATTATGTACTTTACTCATTAATTGCTGTACAATTACAAGGTACGTGATGATAATCTAAAGATTTTTTAAACCTAACATATAACAAAACTTGATTGTTAGGTTATTGCACCTTGTAATTTTGATTTTTTTTCTGAGCTAGAAATATCATATGAGTCAGGTTCAACATGTATATGGGGATTTGGAAAATGCATTTTAGATGACATTCAAACAGATTCCAGCTGATTTCTTTTCATGTTAGTTCAAGGGAGGACATCAACAAGAAACAGGAGCGACGCGAGAGGCTTAGGCAGTGGCAGGAAAAGATGAACAATGACAGGTTTTCTGACCAAAAAAATCAACAGGGAAACAAAGGACGAGGTAAAAAAAAGATGGCCAAACCAGCCAAAGGCAGTAGAAGAAGTTCCAGTTTAAAGGTATTAAGATCTTATAAGTTTTAAGATGTTACTTATAACTTATCAGATCTTAAATGAGCAATCCACTAGTTATTTAGAACCTATTATACAAGAATACCACCCATCAAGAACACTGAGATCATCAACTCGCTCACAGTTATGCATCCCACCAATTAAATCCAATTCCTATGGTGGACGCGCTTTTTCAGTATCTGCACTGAAACTATGGAACTCAAGTCCCGAATATATAAAAAGAGTGGAAACTGAAACATTCAAAACTAGGCTTAGGACATTTTTATTTAAAAACATTACTGTTAATTAACTACTTATTCTCTATGTCTTAATAATCTGTTGTTACGTGCATTAAGATTAGAAATGCACCCTATAAGCATCTATTTATTATTATTATTATTATTATTATTATTATTATTATTAAAGGTAGCTGAAAATGAGATGGGAGGGGACAGAGCCTCACTCAGAGAAGGAGTGGATCCTGCTTTGTTTGAAAATGATGACTACTTTGAAATACCCATGGATGTGGAGAGCGATTCAACAGGTGAATGTACATAAACTTTGATGGCATGTAGCAAAGGTTTGAATCCAAGGGTAATGGTATGACTGTCCAGGTGAGGTAACTGTAAGGGGGTTCCAGAAAGGATTGTTGATTAAAGTTACTGTGTTTAGCAACCTTGGTAGAAATCACCATCAGAGTCAAATAACATCTTCTGCTCAGGGTGCCAAATTGTCATCCTCTTCAACCAAGAATAGTTCTTTTCAAGGTTACCCTCTCTTAGACATTGACACCACTGGAATGGAGATATATCTGTGTTTGTAAATGTATGTATTTATGTGTGTGTATGTTTGTATTTATGTGCAGTGCATACATACAGCTATAGTTCACTTTATCGTCTCCAAAAACCTCATTCGTTTGTGTTAATAAATTTCCATTCCACCCTGTACAGATGGCCCAGCTCTGCCATTAATAGATGAACCAGCTGAAGATTTTCCTCCACCACCCCCACCCTTACCTAGTGGAGAATCAGGTAGTTGCTTAATTTACAGCTGAGCTCATTAATTATATGATATGTGACTGTGCCTTAAGTTGTTAAAGGTTCGACTGGGTGGTACTGATACTCTACAGGGCTTGACACTAACAGTAGCCAACTAGCCACAGACTAGTAGAAATTCAGTTTTGGCTAGTGGTTTTCAATTTCAACTTGCCAGTTTGGCTATTAAACAAACTGAAATTGTCGTAACTTCTAAAATGTCACTAGCCATTTGGCTAGTAAGTTGAAGAGTTAGTGTCCAGTCCTGCTTTAGGTGATCATGAAACAAAGAAGAGAACTTGTGATATATGTTTGTGTGTGTGTGTACTTGGAGCAATGCCCTGTAGCCAAAGAGACCTTTACATTAAAAGGGAGAATTTAAGGTTAACATCTGTTGATTTCATTTATTATGTAAAGAGTAAATTAGAAGATTTATGGTGGAGTTTTGAAAGGGAATTTTCTTTTTCTGTTTTCATGACAGCAGCTTCTGTTTATATGGATCCTGGGCAGCCTGCACTTATGGTGAGTTTTTATTTGGACTGGGTGTGGCAGGATTAGATTATGAGAATGTCTTATGTTCATTTTGTTAGTACATGTACAGTATTAGTGCCACCTTATGCTAATTCAACTGCTCCTTTTTTAAATTCCTCTGTCCCTAAATTCTTTAATTTTATTTCCCCCATCTACAGATGTATCCACCAGGATATTTCCAGGTAAGTTTCAGTTCTTCACTGAATCCTACTGAATCTTAAGAGCATATTCTTTAATAGGACAGAAAGAATAGTATATTTCATTCCTGCCCCCTATGTACTCCCCAGGAGTCTTTTTACTCAACTGAGGGTAGTCAATTATTGCAGTGTGTTATTTATTGGGTGTTTCTTTCTCCAAAGACTTATTTTTACAGATCTACTACAGTCTTAAAATCAGTGGAAATTAGAAATTGCAAAATTTTCATGCTGAGGGTTGCATTTAAGCCCCCTCTGTTGATTAAAACTTAAGGAATTTGATAATTAATTGTCCTCCGATGACTTATTTCCTAACAGAACTATGCCGACTGGTTTGCTGGTTCAGCTCCATTAATGACAGCAGGCCATGAAGACCAACAGTTTCAATATCAAGGTCTGCTATAATTTTTTCATTGAAAAATTTTACTCACTCTAAACATTCTTGCAACTCTGTTGTCCAGTAGGCACCTCTCTCCAGTGAGCAACCCGTCCAGCATTTGGGCTAATTATCATCCATAATTTGGTGTAAAAGTCTGAACTTGAAGTACTGTGCAATTTTGAGGAAAGTCTTCCTTGTGTGGTTATTAATTTCAAGTTTCAACTTCTATTAAAAATGGCACTGTACAATCATGTACGCTATATTGACACAAAATAGACCAAGAAAAAACTGATTTGAAGTGATTTTATTTTTAAAGCAGGAATGTACTTATTATGCAGAAGGTTTAAATTAAATTGTGTGATTAACTTTTTTTAGAGTTTTTGGGCAAAGAGTCACATCCATTAGAAGTTGGGACCACTAAGGAGCTGCCACAGGTTGACAGTAGGGACGTGTCGAGTCAAGAAAACTCAGATGAGGATGATGAAGTTGCCCTTAGGGAACAGCTGTTGAAATCTTTAGCAGTGAAAAGGAAGGCCAAAATTGATGCTGGGGTAAAACATATTTCAGTGATAGACACATACTATAGTTAGCTTGACTCGCGCTTTCGTTTTGAAGCGTTACTGTGGCTTTGAAGGTTTCTGATGTATGGTTGCCGTTTATTTTTGTACTGGTTGCCAGAGGAAGCAAGTCAAAAATTCGTAGGGCATTCCATACTTCTTTTAGATCTTTTCGTGATCTCTGGCTGACCGTTATTTGAATATTAGATTCTTCACGACTTTAAATAAAAAGAGGGGTTGGTCCCCAGACTCCCTGGGACAACGCTCTGGCGCCAAAACTATAAAACACTAAGTGCAAATCATAGCTTGTATTGTGAATAGTTACTCATTCGTGGGCATGTAAATTTCGGAATTTGATTAGGTTCCTCATAAATTGTAGAGAACACATGGTCCTTAGGGGAAGATTTTCTCCAAAGAGAGACTTATGTGCATGACTTTATACCTGAACAATGTAGCCGTATTGCACCACTACAGCGTGTGCTATGTGCTTTTTTTTTTTTAAGCTTCGTACTATAAAGAACTGTGCTAATATACCACAAATATTGGATACAGTGTACAGATTTTTTTCTTTTTCGGTGTTATACATTTACCTTAAAAGGGGTGAATTAATTTCATACAAATGAGCTGGTAAGTTTAGGATTATTATGAAGGAAGTCAGGTGTAGTTTTACCATACAAGTGATGTTTTCTCCTTGTTTTTGAAGAAGGGGGAAGAATCTGCAAAGAATGAGTCAGGTCCCAGGAGTCCAAGCACAAAGGTGTCAAAAATAACAACTAACACAGTACAACCAGTTAAACAGCAACAAGATTCCAGACAGGTACGATAATCATATCAGATTCTATTAATACGTGAATTTCTGTTTCCTCAAGTATTTCTTTATCATCTTTGTTTATTATATGGGGGGTAGATAAATAGGGCAACGTTACAACATAAGCATGCTTTTGCCATTGTCATGCTAGGGTGTTGTCATGAAATTTTGTTGTCTACTTTGCATGCTTTGTTTCCCTCTCTTCCTTCATCTCACATCTTGGGAACTGTACTTTCCACACACTACACAGATCTCGACACTAGCCTTTCAACTTACTAGCCAAGTGGCTAGTGACATCTTAGATGTTGCGACAATTTCAGTTTGTTTACTAGCCAAACTGGCTAGTTGAAATCGAAAACCACTAGCCAAAACTGAATTTCTACTAGTCTGTAACTAGTGGGCTGCCACTAGTGTCAAGCCCTGTTGCACGTAGTTTCTCAGTTTGTAAGTGTTGTGTGCCTGTAGATTTGCCTCCACTTGATTGGAATGGTGACCTCCTTGCCCATAAGAAGATTGCTACCCTGCTTTGTTGCCATCTTTTTGGTACCTATTAGTCAATACTATTGCCTGTGTTTTTAAAGTGAAACCTTTACTATGGATGTTGTTCACAAAGACAGTAGTTACATGTATGATCCATTCAAAGATGGCAGGCTTAGAGTAAAAAGCTGCAACGCTTCACAGATAACAAATAATGATAAAATTGTTGTCTTCTTTTAGTTACCATATTTATTCATCTGTAAGCAGAGCGATTTTTTCAAAAAATTTTACCAAAATCTCGAAAATTTGAGCTAGAGAAGGGTTCTGGGCTTACAGCTGAGTGTTTTTCCAAACAATTTTTTCGAAACAGCAAATTCAAAGGAAACATAGATATATTTGTCTATGAGCCGAGATATTGCATGCAGAAGTAAATAACAAAACAAGTTGAAGTTGGTCATTGACTTTATTTATGTGGTTGCTTCCAAAGGAGCAGTTTGTTGTTTTTGGCGTGTAGTAAATAAGGCTTACTGTTCTTCCTTGGTGTCGACGTGGAATTTGTCGTCCATCTCCTCCTCATCCGCTAGTTTTGCCATTTCTTTTGAGTAGATTGCTTCATCTTCCATGCCGTCTAGAGTAATTAAAGATTCTGCAGGTTTTGAATGAGTGTATAGATCTTGCGAAAATGTTTTAAGAATTTCAAAACTGACCAATCAGAATTGCTCATTCCCATGATTGGTAAACAAACTTGTCACATGTTACGGTGTTAAAATTTGTGATCACATAAAAAGAAAACTTACCTTGGCTTCTCTGCTCTGTAAACCAGTAAAGTAATCTCTCATCCAGCCACAGATATATAGGAGTGTAACGGCCTATTCTTGTGCGTTTCGCTGATATCTCGAGCTCTCCATTAAAGAGATTCTCTTGATCGTTCCTCTAGTGACTCACTGATGACTTACTCTCTGGTTATCTCGGAATTGTTTTCGACGGCAATGCTGCATTGAAACTTGTTTCTGTTTCGAAACTTTTGCGTTCATTTCAGTTTGTTTGAGAATGGAATTCTCTGAATATGGTCGCAGCTTACAATTTACATTTTTTAAGAACCTTCCCGATTAAAACAGACCGAAGTTTAGGGTCTCGGCTTATAGCCGAGATCGGCTTATAGATGAATAAATATGGTATACCCCAAGCTTACAGGTATCAATAAGGCTTTGTATTACAGTTGAACAATTAAAGAAAATAAGAAGTGGCTTTTTTTGTGTCTCTTCTTCTTTGTGTATGTAGGTGACATTTGCTGCTCCTCCAAAACATGATCCGGTAGTAATTAAGCTAGGTGAGGATTCTGACACAGATGAATCTGATGCATCTGATACAGAATTTGTCAAAAAAGCTGCCCCAAACAAGAAAAAATCTGTCGGTGGGGGCTTATTTGGAGGACTAGAAATGATGATCAAGGAAGCTAGGAAGTCTGCTGAGGTAACAAACTAAATTTAATTTAATTTTTATAAGCACCTCAACCTTTTGTTCTTTGTTTCAATGGGCTTGGGTTGATACAACTATAACTTGGTTACTTTCAACATTTACTAAGTTGAGTGTACATGTATGTCACCGTAGAAGTCTGGATGACATGCTTCTTTCAATTGATAGCTAGCATTCTGGTTAGTTTAGTCCTGGCTTGAGCACTGGTTTTTATGCTGGGATAAGACACCTAACTCAATATCACAGTTCCTTTCTCCACCCAGCTGCAAATGGACAGCAGCAAAATACAGGAAAGGGATCTGCAGTGGAGTTCATCCCATCTACTGTAGGTAAAATTAATAGTAACAGAAAATGAATGGGTTCTCACAACCATGCGAGTCAGTCCTGTTTGAAAAAATTTACTTCACCAACTCGGTGGAATAAAATTATGGGGAAATTTGGTGGTGTGCCCTTTTGTTGATTTCTACCCAATATGCACCTGGCATGGAAAACTTTATTAATGGTCACTTATCCATTCCAAGGCCTCTAAAGTGAAAGCAACAGAAAAATCACAAGCTGGCGAAGGAATACAGAAAGGAAAAACAGACCAGCAGCCACCAGAACCAACAACTCCAGATGCAATGGCTCACATGCCAGAGCAAATGAAGACAGAGTACAAAAGACTGAAGGAGCAACTAGCCTTGCATGAGAGTAAAACAAGACAGCCACTTACTACTGTCAATCAGGAAAAAGGTAACAGCGATCATGTGAAACGCACTTCTACTTCCTATAACACTCAAGGAATCTAAAACAATGTAAACTGAAGGAAGTAGGTGTGTCCTTGGTGCTGTGAATACTACTGATACTTAAGCAAAGAAACAAATACCAAACAAACCTGTAATGGTAGTCCTAATGCAAAGAAGATTCCAGTACTCTAGTTAGGTTGTTTTGGGATCTATATTTTTATGTAATTATGTATCTTACAGTTGATCACATGTACAGATTTAAGGATGACTTAAACTGTACTGGCTTGAATGTGAGTTTTGATTTCAGAAATCATTCTTTTTCCAAAAATGCAGACTTCTGTTGGTAACAATAAATGATTTGTCAGAGAGGCTTGCAGGTAACACTAATGCAGAACATAGAAGCCATGGTATTTGTCTAAGAGGCTGATAGCTAGACTTGCTTCTCTTCTTTATAGAAGCCATGTTGTCACCAGCAACACCTGAAAACGAAGAAATAAATGAGATAAAAGAGGATGACAGTCATTTGAAAGGACTGCACAGTTTTGTCACCAGCTGTGAAGAGAATCTCATTAAACACAAGTACGTTGTAATTTCAAAATCATTTGGGGTGCTGATACATGGAAGTATTCATTTGTACTTGAAATTGGAATGATTTACTTCCATATCTTTTTATTCCTATGATCTAAGAGCTTGCCTTTCTTTGTTGACCAGAGCTGAGAATGTGGTGCTGTACCAAGCCAATAACCCTTTGTTGATAATATTATTATCAATAGCATAGTAAAAAAGCCTACTTACTGATCAATCCTTAACCACAAAGGATTAAAATATCAAATACCCACAGGGCTTGAATTTAATTTTTGGAGCACTGACCCTTCGGGTTAGTAGACATCTTTTTTACTAACCAAATTATAAAGTTTGGTATCCAAGCTCACAAGTTATGATATCTCAAATATTCAACATTTTGATAATAATGACAAAGACAAATGAAAGAGTTGCTGAAATTGCACGGTGACCTTAAAAACGTTGACAATTATGCACTTATTTTATTTCACTCTCGTTTACCATGATTAGTCAAGAACAGTACATCTACAGCACATTCTCTTAAAAGAGTTTAAGTTGATTTAACAACTTGAGTATTCTAAGTATTCTTCTAAGAGTCGGGTCTATGTGCTCTTTGTCCCGAAGTCCACCAATGTTTAAATATGTTAAAAATTTTACTAACCATGTTGGGTTAGTTGGACACATTTTTAGTAACCAAAATTAATGTTGAAAATTACTAACCATTGGTTAACGGGTTACCGTTCATTTCGAGCCCTGACCCATTTGAAGTCCTATCAAGTAAGCTCATGGCAGGGGCAGATTCTTATAAGCATACTTTCTTTTCCTTTAACATCAAGCATTTAACCTCCTTTTTATATTGTTTTTGGTAGGAAGTTTATCCAGAAAGAAAAGGTCACTCTGAATAAACTTTTGAGTGAGCTTCTCCAAAAAAAGCGTTCCCTCGAAGCCCAAGAGGAAAATGTGCGCAAACTTCAGAAGGAACTTGAGGCCGCACAGAAAGTTAGTCTTGCAAATAAAATGTTAATGAATAAGCTCCGATCAAGGACAAAGCTGGTAAAAGACAGACTTGGCAAGAGACAGCTCGCTGCAAGTACTTTTGAAGAGGAACTTCTCAGAGCTAAAAGTATTATTTCGGCAGTGAAAAGGAAAATGCCCATGGCAGGGGAAGCAGGGTCTGGGCGGAATAGCCCTCAAATGGAACCACTGGGCAATGTTAGCAATGAGAACCAGAAATTCACAATTAGTCCAACTGCTGCTTGGGAGATCAAAAATTCGCTGGAAGCAAAGTTTGAAAAACTGTCCACCTTCATCAAACAGGATACAACAGAGAAGAGAAAACTTGAAGCCAGCGAATCATCCTCAGAAGCAACTGTGAGTTCCTGATTTTGTTATTTTTAATTTGTCACAATAATTATAATTGTAGTTGTAGTTAAAGAAATTGCATTTGCTCAATGGTGTGAAATTCATGAATCATTTGTATGTTGCTTCACTGGAACTGACATGTGATGCTGCTTCAAAATATTAAACATGCACAACTCATTTCAATTAATTTCATACAATTACTTACTCAATGCCTGTACTAATTTAGTTTTTTCTAGAAGGTTATATGAATTAATTGGTATTAGGATCACAGTTTTTCATTACATTTACAGTACATAAGGAGCAAAATTACCTTGACTTTAAATTCAGTGGAAACTATCTTGTACAATTTATTCATCTACATGTACCACTTTAAAAAGAAAAATAAAATCTACGTGTAACATTCAAGGAAAATTAATTTACCTCATTTGTAAGTTGCCATGAGTATTAAGTCTAATATATACTGTATCAGTCATTAGTATAATTTCAGAGCTGACCAAAGAGTTTCCAGCAATCTGATTGGTTGAGCGGTTCCTTATATGACGCTATATAAACTGCTCCACGTGGTTTATATAAAATGTTAAAATAAAATGTTAATAAATGTTACTAAAATGTTATGATTTTAGAAATTTCTCTGTTGTTCAGCTCTGAAATTATACTAAAACAATTATTCGCCTCAGGTTCAGTGAATATTGCCGAATAATCCCCTCGACTTCGTCTCAGGGATTATTCGACGATATTCACCTCGCCTGTGGCGAATAATTGTTAAATACAAGGAGGAGTCCACATTTCACTTGATAGTCAGGGCTTGACACTAACTTCTCAACTTACTAGCCAAGTGGCAAGTGACAAGTTAAATGTTACAACAATTTTGGTTTGTTTATTAGCCAAACTGGCTGGTGGAAATTGAAAGCCACTAGTCAAAACTGAATTTCTATTAGTCTGTGGCTAGTTGGCTACCATTAGTATCAAGCCCTGATATGGGGTTATTCTGTTCATCTCTCCTGATGTATTGTTATTCATCATGCTGCCTTTTTCTGTCCTTGTAGTTGGCCAAGAAAGCAAAGCAAGTACTCATAACACCTCAAGGAAGTCCAACACATTCAGCAACCACTACTCCAAGGAAATCAGCTGTGGCAGAACGTATTGCTCAGGAAAAAGCCAGGCTGAAAAAACTTGAGCATGAATTATCTGAAAAACTCAAACAGTTTGGAAGAGAGCGTGAAGGCGACAGAGGCTCTGCTTTTAATGCATCAGAAAAAATACTTCAGAGTAGCAAAGACAGTTCTGATGTCAAGACGATTGGGAAAGAGGAGAAAAAAAATGAATTTGGAACAAGTTGTGATAATACAAGTCATCTTGATTCACAGGAACAAGGTTTTGATTCAAGGGAAGCCAGTGGTCAGTTTTTCCCTGGTGCAAAGGAGGTCACACCTTTAACAGAGGGCAAAACACCAATAACATTTGAGTTGCAGATGACTACCCAGCAATTGGAACATGTGAGAAAGTTGCAGGTAAATGAAACAGTTTTAAATGTCTCTTTTGATTAATTGTGATTGAGCCAAATATTTCTAAGGTGCTTCATGAATTGTAAGTGAACATACATGACAGGCACATTATCTGTGATCAAAGGGTACATGCACCTATGGGGTCGAAGAAAGGGATTTCAGTATGTACTGGCGTGATTTTTTGTTTCATGTATCATTAATTTTTACTTGTTCCATTGGAATGCTGATCCAAGTTCACATAGTGATGAGGCAAGATGATCTGTCCAGGGTGTGTTGTACCATTTGTCTGTCCATATGATCACTTCTGATGTGGATCATTGTCATTTTGACTGTATAATGCTAGTTTTCTTCAGGCAATGTGTTTCACTACTTGGGTACTGCAGTACTTCTTGCTGTGTTTACAGTACTTGCCTTATTAAGACTAGACCTAAGTAATCCATTTTCTGCAACCCGCATTGCAAATTGCTACTTAGACAAACACTAATACACTGTTGTTGGTTTTTTTTTTTGTTTGTTTTTATTAGGCTGAAAGGGAAAAGATAGGTCCTCAGTTTCCTGCTTGCACTCTTGATGTTCCACTGACAGCTGATCAGCACTCTACCCTCTGTGTTTGTTTACCCTTTGGTTACGAACTTAAAAGTATTGCGAGAGACCAGGACAACATGACAGAGAGGGAGGACCGAAGCACTGAATTAGCAGTGGGAGAGCTCAGAAGAATAAATGATTATGAAGCAACTCCAGTTCCCTTTGGAAAATACCACAGTAACTTGCTGCACTTCAAGTCGTACAGGTGAAACCTCAAACATGAGAATTATTTTCTGAACAAACAAACAATTTAAGATAGGATAAAGGAAGGGTGAAAAAATTTCAAAATTGCTAACAGCAGAAATGTCTGTTCCTTAGTAGATTCATGGTATGGCCATAAACAAACCTGGGTTTAAATGTGTTTCTGTAGGCTGGTAAGTAGGCACCTTGATTGTGGGAAGAATTAAAAAAAAATCGCTGGAGAGATTGGCTTAGCCGAGAGATAAATGGAAGTTTGTGTAAATTTGTTGTAAAGTTGAATGGCATATACAGCTTCACCAACTTTATATTAACAGCTAGCAATACTTTGTCTTGTGTTAAAATTAACTCATGAATACTGTTAATTGTAGTGGCATTCAAAGAATTTTACAGGCATTAAATTTTTGGTTAGAAATTTTTGCTTGTTGGTTCAAAAAGGGGCCATCAAAGTTATATGAACTACTAGTGGTCAAAACAAAGGTTTTGTTCTTTTAGGTTAAGCCCATATTTCAGACTCCAAGGTGGATTTTCCCTTACTTCTTTAACATTTTCCAACAAAGTGGATCCTACGTGGCCTCTATGCAACTTTGACTTGCAAGGCAAATGTAATGATGAGGACTGTAAATTCCAACACTTCGTCAAATGCAAGTTGTCACAAGAAGAAATACTTCATGATCTGGCAGCATACAATCCAAACCTCACTGTAGATTTTAAAGATGTGGAGGAGATGCAAGAGAGTGTTGAAACTTTTACAAAAGCTTTCACAAAACAATATCAAGACAAAATGTCCTGGGAAGAACTTTGTATTTTATTAGTGAATGATGTGAGGAAGTGCAGGAAAGAAAATGGACCTTTTAACATTTCCCTTCAACCACGCACTTGGAAGCTTCAAAAAACTGATAAGAAAAAGATTGAATATGAGACCGATGTAGAAATTGCCGATAAAGGCAAGGGAATAATTTTTTCTAGCAAAGACAAAGTTCATGGTGTAGCATCCAAGAATAGCAAGTCTGCTGTGGGACATCAACATAGGGTGTCTGGTGAGGAAAGGTGAGCACAAGATGATTTTTTTTTTTTTTCTTTTTTTTTTTTAAGGACAAACATGTACATTGTACAGTGTAGTCATTATGGGCATGGGCATGCTGTAGGTTAAATGAATTCAGGTAAAACATCTCTAACTTCTTGAGTTTGAACTGTTTTTATTAGTACTTTAACAGAGAAATCATCTATGCTCAAATTTTTTTGTCAAGCACATGCTTTACACCATGTATTTCATGTAAAAAGGCTGTGCAACATTTCTGGCTTTGTTTGGAAATAGGTGTTAAGCTCTTTTAGGATAATGGCAGCTGTGAGCACATTTAGAACAAAGTCTGTGGATTCTTAAACTTGGTGGGTCTGTCCAGGAAAATCTGGTTGATAGTATTTTCCATCATCTTTCCTTTTGTAGTCAAGAAATACGCTACTTTTTGGAGGAGTACAACAACATTGAATCTCTTGAAGCATCATTAGAAAATTCTCCCGGTGATGTGGCTTTGTGGCTCAAGTTGGCAAGGTTGAAACTTCATGAAAATAACAGCACGGTTGAGGGGGAGAAGGAGGATGCTTACAACAATAATGTCATGCAAGCACTTAGTACACTTTCCAGGGGCTTGGAGGAAAATAATCAGTCAGAGGTATGGCAAGAAACTGTACACTGTAGGAAAATTTATATGTATCAAAGACATGTTGTTAACTCTTTAACCCCTAGGTGTGATAGGTGTCTAATTTCTCCCTGCTATATCACCCCTGAATCCCACATGAAGGCCACGAGACTACAGGAAATGATCACTCACTTAAGAAGCTCTTGATTGTAAAACAAATTCTCCTTGTCAGTATCTTAGGAAATGTAAAGGGAGCAGTGAGGAGAATGTGCATAGTGATGTTAGGGTGTAAAGGGTTGGTGCAACCTGTATATTTTATGGCTAGTGTGAATTCTGTCCTCAATCTGAGGTTACCTTAGAAGAGGTATTTATTGTTGTTGTTCAAAAATTGAACTTAAGGTAGTTATATGTAACAGATGTGACCTATGAACTGATGGGTGCATATGGGTGAACATGAAGAGCTCATGCATTATAGATTTTATGATTTCTGTGATTACAGTTGTACGTGCATATGTCTGGTGATAGCATGTAATGTACAGCTTTGGCCTTGAAGTTTTTTCAATTGTGGAGTGTTAGACTACTGTGCAGAGAAAGAAATCCTCCTTCCTTAGTTACATACTTCACACTAGGTTTTCATGAATACACATGTGTGCAGAAAATGCTCATCTACAAGTGTCTGTCAGTAGCGAGTAGATTTCCATACAACTTTTCTCCATTGCTCACCCTTTGAGGCAAAGTTTCACCTAAATGTAAACAACATTCAAATTGGAAAGGACTGCTTTCAGTTGTTTTTCCCGACTCTTTAATTGGGACTGGACTGTCTCCTGTTTCATGGAAAGCAACAGTGAAAACTTTGCTGCATATGTTTTTGTTTTTCCTGCAGGAGTTATGGCTAGAGTACTTGGAGTTATATTCATCACAGAGCAGCAGAGAGGAGCTTAACGAGATCTGTGACCAAGCTGTGGAGTTTTCACCAACCTATAATGTTTGGTGGAAATATTTGGAGTATTCGCGAACGTACACTGACAAGCGGAATGTTTGTTTACGTCTTATCGCCTTTCTGACAATGAATCCTATTGAACCAGTGGAGCTTCATTCTCACTTTGTCCTAGAAACATTGCTTTACCTCATTCAACTAGAACTGTATTCTGGACATTATGCCTCTGCAGTGCTTGTCTTTAAATCGGCATTAACCAAGAGAACGCACGGATGTAGCGATGTTCCAGAATTGTCCAGCTTTCTATTGGCCTCAGACTATTGTTGTGCTTGGTTAGCGTACATTCATGTGGTTGAATTCCACCGTCTTCCTTCCCCATGGTTTGATCCTAGTCATGGTGAACCTTCCAAGATGGTGACAAAGGAAGACTTTGTTTTCCCGTGGAAACTATCGCAGCAATCAAGAGTCCCCGGAAAGAAGTTGCTGGTGTTGTTTCAAGGTAGAAAAGTGTCTGTATCATGTAACAGTTTCCCAACGCTTAAGTGGTTGTCCGACTTAACTTTAAAACTGTATGATTTCCAAGAGAGACGAGAATGTCAAATGATCCAGTGTAGCCAGATCTTTGGAGTGAGAGGATTACCCCACCTTCCCACACACTTATCCTGTACTTACAGTTGTATTTTAATGAACCCAATTTGTCATTACAATGTAGGGAAGAAGACAGATCAGGTAGCCATTCATTTTCACCTGTACGGTGAAATAATTCCTGTAGCGGAACCTGCTGATAGTTTATGTGTTACCCATGTGGGAGAAATAACATGTCTAATGAAATTATTTTCTTTAGTTTTAATATTTGTAAAGGTGTTTTGATCTAGGAGTTAAATTCTGAGTAGCACTGCTGGCTAATTTCACCTCTCTTCCTTTATCAGATGCATTGAAAGCTTGTGGTGAAGTAACAAAACCCCCCTTTGACAAATTTACCATCTGCCTTCCACTGTACAAGAACCTCTTGGCTTTGGAGAGAGCATATGGAAGAGTTGACTCTGCTAGAGGAATCTGTCGCCATCTGCTAAAGGACCATCCATCTACAGTAGTGCTATGGCAGTGTCTTGCAGCACTTGAAGACTCGCCAGAGAAGGGTGGAAAGGTAGAACAGGTGTACATGGAGGCGCTAGACAAGTGTAAAGCCAGTACTGAGTTGTCGTACAGTGCAGCACGCTTTTACCTTCAGCAGGTCAGTCAACTGTTCAGTGTTGTAACCTTTTGATGTTCACTTAACCTGAATCAAATATTATACTAAACAGTTGGTGAACGAGAAGCACTCTCTATGAACGACTCATTACTGAGTTGTCCTCCACAGATCCTTCTCTGAATACAACATCATCTTTAACAGTCAACAACAGATTTAATTCATTCACTTCCTAGGATCTTACTAATTATTGCTAAGGCTAAGATTAAGGAGTTCGCCATCAACCTGTCAGTTGTAAGTCAAAGCACATACTTCGCTAGGTGTAATTGTTTTCTTTTCAACGAAGGTCTTAGTCTCGTTACCTTGGGAGAGTATGAGCCAAACCGAAGTGATTTAAAAGCTTTTGTAGTGCTCTCTGAACACTTTTTAGGTATTTTGCCTGCGCGTTGAAGTCCAGTAGATGTTGTTGTTCTTTTTTTTTTCCATACTAGCTCTAACCTTCTTTTGAAAAACAAAAATCAACAGAATGAAGTCCAGAAGGCCATATCAGTTCTTATCAAGAGTGTTCTTAACAAGTTTGCGGCAAAGATTGACTCGCAGGGATGTGAGGTACAAAGTCTGGCTGCTGTTTCTTCAGAGGACCAGACTGGTGATCCTGTGGCCTTATATCGTCGACTTTTATCCCTCCCCCTTCCCTATGACTACAAGTGTCCACCTCTGTTACCAAATGTTGAACCCCAAAGTCTAGGCAAAGAAAAGGTGTTTCTCTGGTTATCTTATTGGTAAGTTAATGAAATGCTTGTAAATTGAGAACTGCTCTCTGAGCGTAGCACAGTTTTTAGTTTAGTATCAAATGTCATCTGGGATCGCATAAGTGTCGCTTTGCCTACTGCTCTGTGACTACTATAGGAAACTCTCATGCAAAACTGAAAGTAATCGTGATTGTTTTTACTCGTGTTTTCCCCCAAGTAAAGTCCATCCAATAGATTTATCCTCTGTAGTCCCAATTGGCTCCTTAAGGCCTACCTGCTAATGTTCCCCTTTTTAACTGTTTTAAACTGCCAGCTTGTTACTAGAGATTGCTCCTCCAACAAATACTTCATGGGATGACTTAACTCCTGAGTCAGCATTTGAAACTGCTGTGCATAGCCCTCTACCAAGACATGACGTGCAGGTACTGTGGACTGAATACCTGTTCTACCAGAGATCCAAAGCGTTACAAGAAAGACACTCCACGGACGAGTTGGTTGATAGGTGTTTAATGTCTGTGAGTACTAGCAACGCTCTGCCTCACTCTTCAAGCGTTTTCTGGCGGGATTACAGATTTCACAATCAAGTGAGTTAATACTTTGATAAGTATGTTCGGGGTTATATAAATAAACGAATGTTGAGCAGTTTGTTTCACGACTATGGGGTCACTATTAATCGCAGACCGCAACATTGTGACAACATAACCGCTAGTCTTCCTGAGGAATTCCATATTTTAGGGAACCCTAGGGTACAAGCTCTACCCTACTTGTGATAGTGGGAATGTTAACAATGGAGTAAGCAGAGGTTCTCCTTAATTTCTTGGTACATCAAACAATGTGTTCATAACACTTGAGCAGTCGAGTCAATTGTAGGGGATAAAACTTGATAACGAAAACTTGAAACTATTTCTCGCAACGCGCTGTAAGAAGGGCAGGTGTTAATGATGCTATTTATTTTGTAGATTATCAGTTTGTCTTTGAGCTGTCATCCTCAGTCATCCTGGTCATCTGTATTTCAAAAGTACTTGACGATTTTTCCTGGGAATGTTATATTAGCAATACGGTACGTATAGTTATGTAGAGTACAAATAAAAACTTGCGATTTATGAACCAAGTGTTTCTTGGGTGCACCCCTAAAGTTTAAACCAGGAACTATACTAGTTGTTTATGTCGGAATGCATAGTAAACACGCCGCATTTCCTCGCGGTTTTGATTTATAATTCAGAAAATGTGCAGATGCAAAGAACAGACCAACCGGTTGTAAACTTTGTGCAGTTTAAAATTTAATGTGTAACAGTAGGAAAGGCGAATTACTCGCCTGATTTTTCGATTATTTGATTTTTTTGTTTGTTTGATTTTTTTCAGGGCCTGTCAACATGAGGTAGAGGGTAAAAATTACGACCAAGCCAAAAGGATCGTTACATCCTCCCTCTTAAGCAACCCTTACAGTATAAGCATGTGGAAAGTGTACCATTCACGTCTGTTTAATCTTCTTTATAACTGAGAGTTTTTTAGGGCTTATTATTTGGAACCGCAGTGGAATTAAGTATTTGGTATTCTCTGTCAAACGTGAGACAATATTTGAGCTTGGCAGTTAGTTTTTGCCACTTATTTTCTTTTTTGGTAATTTATCACACTAACGCAGATTTAAATGACTGTCTCCTCCTCCCCCCGTTGTGTTTTTTCCCTTCTCTCTTTTTCTCTTTTGCTACAGTGCCATTTCTATTGAGCTAAAAAGGAATTGTGTGAAGGAGGTGAGTCGTTTTATTTAGTCGAGTACATGTATTTAACCAGTAACCTTGTTTTATTGTAATTGCTGACCCTCTCTCTCTCTCTCTCTCTCTCTCTCTCTCTCTCTCTCTCTCTCTCTCTCTCTGTCTCTCTCTCTCTCTCTCTTCCCCCCCTTTTCCAGCCAATCTTCTTTTCGTTTAGAGTACACGTTCTTTAGTAACTGGACGCCGTGTTTGGTCATTACCACATCTAGTGACCTCGCCTTGCAGCCAAGATTCGGTGTGGTCTATGCTCGAGCCAAGTGATCCATTTTCATGGAGCTTAGCCGTAGTCTGTAGCGACTACGATTAACCTTCGATGGACTGGTGCGCATCCAGGGAGAATAGCAATATCACCGCATGTAGTTGCATAAGACCACAAAAACTCAGATAAGCTCCGGCTAGTCACTCCAGTGCAAACTTAACTGTGATTGCTTTGTATGACTCACACTTTCCTTACTGTGGACTATTCAGGTCCGAGCTGATAACTCACAATCTTTCTTATTCTATTTACAAACGTGACTCTATCGACATTGGCGATCCTAACATCATGCAGGGCGCATATCATATATGAACTTGGTAATGGCCGGCCTCGTTCACCATAGAGACTCTGTGGCTCAGTAGTAGAGCATCACAGCGCAGAATCCGAAGGTCTAAGGTTCGATTCCTCTTGGAAACTCGGAATTTTGTTGTTGTCCCACGCTCGTGACAAGATGAAAAAGCATCTTTTTCTGTTCAGGGACCCGTTTCTCGAAAGTCCCGCCAACTTAACGGACCCTTAAAGCTGTTCTGTTTTCATTCAAGATGGGAATTTCAAAAGTTTTGAAAATGATACAATAAAACTATCACCTAAAGAAACAAAAAGGACTGGTTTGGATGTCATAACCTGCTTTCCCATCTCTTAAATTTTTATTTTAAAAGATGGCTTTGGGCCCGTTAAGTTACCGGGACTGGGACTTTCGAGAAACGGGCCCCTGGTCTTTGTTTGTGAAAGATTGTTTTCCATTGTCATCTGTGTTTTATAGGCGCGTAAGATGTACCATCAAGCCACAGAAGTTTTACCATTTGCCGCAACTATCTGGAAAGATGTAAAGTTAACTTAAAGTCGTTCGCTCTTTTTGCTGTTCGATGATTTTGTGCTCATTTTTAATCTTTTTTTTTTTTTGGTTTCCTCCGAGTTTGAATTCAAGGTTCATTTTTCTCTCTTACTCTGACAGTTTTTGATGTTTGAGCTTGCTCGAAGTGGCGATGGATCCGCCGTTCAAGAGATTCTGGCGAAGAGCCGAGAAATCGGTGTCAAACTTGAGGAGTTTTTGAACACTCTTTTGGGTAAATGAGTGATCACGTTGCACTTTTCGACAGGGGATCGTTTTAAAACGAAAAATCGTGGTTTAAAACTTGGTTGAATTGAAATCTCGTCAATGTGACAAGGTGTACTGCTCCATTTCGGACACCACCAGGGTTGAAACTGTAAATGGAGTCAATTTTTACTGTCTAGTTAAATTTGGATTTCAGTGAGCTGCAGAAAGGTAAGGTGGATTGAAACATGATTAATTTTCCGCTTCCAAGCAGAATAAGAATGAAAAACCACAGGAATCATTTGAGTTTACGCAAAGGATTTGTTGTTACTCACGATAATCACTATTTATATAGTAGAAAATTATATATTTTTTGTATTTTTTCCAACTTTTCTATGTGCATTTAGGTTTCTATAATTACCAGGTGTCGCATATGATTTCAGTCCGTCAAAGCTCGAACATCGGCATGTGTTATTAAAGACTGAACTAGTTACCGCGAATGATAATTTCAGTCAGATGCAGTTGTCTTCAGTAGCGAATGAGTCAATTGTCTTTTTGACAAATTACCGTATTTCTTAGTTGGTTTTTTAATTTATTAAAGGAAACAGGAACAGATCGTTTTTGTATTGATTCGTTTGTCTTTTTCTTTGCTATGCATACATGTTTTATTTCTCTCTTTGTTGTGCAGACTACTCGTTAGAAACTTGTTGTGAGTTCGACTGTCGTGACTCTGTTCTCATATTTGGCCAGATGTTTCAGTTTTGTTTCTTCTTTTGGTCGTATGTGTTTGTTTCGTATTTCAACGATAGGGATAGTGATCATAGTTGGTTATTTGGTCTGTCTGCCATTTAGTCAGTCACTCGTCAGCCAGCTTCCTAGTCATTTGTCAGCTAGCCATGCAGTTAGGCAGTAAGTCGGAGAGACGGATAGTAAGATGATTAGTCAGTCACCGACTTAGTCACATAGTGAGATTAGTCAGCGGATCAGTCAGTCATGCAGTCAATGAGTCAGTCAGCTAGTCTGCTGGTGCATTCTTCAGTCACTGTAAGTTTTACAAAGGATATCATGCTAGTTCATCTCATTTGGCGTCTTACCCATTTCAAAGGTTACTCATTTTTCACTGTCATCGTCGCAGACGTCTGTTTATATACTGTTCTATTAACCCGCTAATTTTACTACTTTTACCATCTTATTCTGTTCTTTCACTTAATCGATCCTTCTTTGTCACAAAGAGGACCGTGCTGACGTAGTGTTTGCTTGGTTGTGCATGAGAAAAGGAGAGAGAGAGAGAGCGAGAGCGAATGGAGTTAGCTGTGGGACTGTTGGGTGTTTTGGTGTTTTGTTGCTTCGTTTTTCTCTATAGGACTCGGAGCAGATTAATGAAGCTTAGGAGAACAAAGTCACGTTTACAAGATAGCCTACATACACTGCATACAGTGTATGGTTCGAAGGCTAAAATTGTATGTGGAATCGAGAACGATAGAAAGAATGGCCAATATATACCTAACAGAACAAGAAAAAGGAAAGAAGACCTTTAACACCTTGAAGGGTACAATTATACCCTTATCCTTAAGGAGATCGGATGAAAACCTCGAAATTCACAGAGGTTACAAAGAAGACTTCACAAACTTAATGCTCCCACACTGGGCCACTTATAGCAATAAGTGGTGCAGATGTAATTTTGTAAGTGGGACAAACAAGCGTTTATTCGAGGAAAAACAGTTATTAATTGTATAGTCATTAACTTTTCAACTCCTAAGGTCGGTTTTGAAATTCTCCCGTCTATCTGTTTTAAATTTTATGTAAATTAGTTCAGAGAATTATATCCTAAATCCGTCTGTTCTTAGTAACTTTTATTGGTGATTATGAGTTGACATTTTTAAGAAGTTATTTGTATACTTGTGGGAGTTTTAAGGGTTAAGCTCCATAAAATTGAGTAAGATTTGAATGGGATGGAAACGAGAAATGGTAAGGAACAGTGATAAGAAAAAGACAAATTAGCTCCAAAATGCGTCACTGCTGTTACACGTAGGAATTGGACAGATGCGATGCGGTATTGACCACTTTCAAAAAATGGCTGCCGGATTAATATTCTTTTGTTTGAATTTAAATTAGCCTTTCTGGCCTCGCTTGAGATGATGTATTCTTTTGAATTTTGTACTGGAAAACGAGGCCAGAAAGGCTAATTTAAATTTAAACAAAAGAATATTAATCTGGCAGCCATTTATGAAAGTGGTCAATTGTTCCTGGATTGCAATGGACGAGAAAAGAATTTAGGAAAAGGGCAAAAGTTTCCTTTCTCCTTACGCTTTTTTCGTATTTATTTTGTTTAATTGTTTCTTGTTTGCTTTTTGAGTGGTTCAGTTTCTGGGATAAACTATATTTGATATGAAAACCGTCCGTCCTCATGAGAAGGAAAACTTGTACGATATTAAAATCGTGATTTATGGATACAGTGCGTTTAGTAGAAATCTCCCTTATTTCGTCCAAGGTTCATGTTTCATTAGTAGCACAAACGTTAATCAACTGATTTGTTTTCAATAATCATAATAGAAGTATTGCGGGACAAGAAATTAGTTTCATCGTAACAATTCAAATAGCTTTTGTTTTTTTTGTTTGTTTGTTTGTTTTTTTTTGGGGGGGGGAAGAGACATGTTACTGACTTTACTAGCAACAAGGAAATAGTATTTTCCCTATTCAGGATGCCCTTTTTTAAATATTTGTCCAGTGTAATTCTTGTTCTACTTAAATTTGTTAATTAAAACCTGTTGCAGTGAAAAATTGTCTCAGTATGTGTGTTAGTGTGAGAACTAAGAGCAAGTCCCGGATGTTCTTCCTGAACCTTATTTTTATCTCATGCTTCTCTTTCTTCGCGCAGTAAAATCTGTTGCTGTGATAAACAGCACGAAACCAATCCACAGCTCTGTTGTCACTCTTGACAGAATTAAAAAAAAAAGAAAAACATTTTAAACCGGGACACAGGTTACCAACAGAGAGAAGCATCAGGTCATGTTTTCTTACATGAAGAAAACAGAAACAAAGTAGACCATTATCTTGCAGAGAGGTTTCTTAGACACCATTTCCCCTCCCCCTCCCCCTCTCTTACTTTTAGAACTTGAGGGGAAAAATAAACTTTGTCTTCAGCGCAAATGACACAAATTCGAGCAAGCATTCGTGAAAAAGTACCAATGACACAACATCTCATTGCTTAACTTAATAGACTTGACACGATGTGTTTGATCCCTTAGAGATATCGTAGGCCTGGTGTCCAGGTTAAGCGGCGCAAGCTTTTTAAAAAGAGACCAGTAATTTACGATCAGAGAAGAAAGCATTTCTAGTTGAGCTTAGTTGAATGAACCGGAGGCTCCCGCGAGGACTGTGTTCCTAATCAGCTTCCAAAGTCTACGCTTAAATCCCGGAGTGGTCACACTGCATGTTTACGTGTCCTCCACTCGTGCTCAGGGCTCACGTTCTATTTCACCTCCTTTCCATCCACGTGGATATTGCAGGCTCTTCTTAAATCCCTCATCACCACGAGTCAGACGCATGCGCACTGCACAGAGTATTGGTCCGGCTAGGACAGATTAGGTAAGGCAAACACAAATAGCCGAATTACTGTTCTTAAAGTACCTCTACTTCTGATATGAGCACGGGAATTTTTTTTTTTTTTTTAACCAAATCTACTAGGTGAGATTTCCATGACTGAGGGCCCTATTCTGAGTAGGTGCCTTCAATTGGTGCCGATTTTCTTATCCCGTAAGTGGGTGCAGACACACAGGTGCAGACACGCAGATGAGCCCTTCTGAGATTTTATACCTGAGACTTTTTTGTGATGAAGGGAAACTTGAAAACTTTCAACATTTTTAGTTGGACATATTAAAAGACATAAAACTGTAAAACTATTGAAGGTACTCTTTTATGTCCAACCTTATAAATTGGCAAACAAACTCACGGTCAGCGATCTGCCTAGCGCCGGCATCAAAGACAAGAAAAGGCTTAAAAGGACTGATGAATTTGATAATTAGGTAGTCAATCATTCGATTAACTTTACGCGCAGTATCATTGTGTAATCAATTTATTTTGACCTGTTCAAATATTGGGTAGGTACTGTGTTTTAAGCCCGCTGAGTAAGGAGAGGAGAACTTGACCGAACTCTGATTAAGCGGAATTTAGAAATAATCGTAATGGCGTCCTGTTCACCATTTAATTAATAATGGATAACTTCTGGGTGTTAAAGGGTTAATGGTTCAAAATAATCCTTTAATGATCCCATGAACACGACTTTTAACGACTGTCACGAACTTGTCAATTGTGGATTCCATCGACAAAGGAATTGTGCGCTGAGGACACTGCTTTCGACAGATGCCGGTTGTTTAGTTGTCATGTTTCTCGTAGAGGCCGAGTATTTATTGCATGTAGTACATCGAAAACTACATTAAACATCAGTTGATTGGTGTTAATTGAAACCTATCCACAGCTTGCACCTACGACGTAGAGTGACGTTTTTCACTTGTAATTAGGGAGCTAATCGACCTCATAAACGTGAGCGAAATTAAAAACGTAGCGTGGGTGATTAGCAACGGTACTGTTTACATAATGCCACCAGTTGAAGCTTTGATTAAATTTTGATCCATTCATCACTCATGTGCCGTCATTTTTGAATGCAGTGTTCGAACTTTGAAAAGATTTTAATCGTAGAATAAATAAGATATTCTTTAGTCAGTATACCCCCTTTGACGTAATCGCTGGCAGTACAAAAAGCCATTCAAGCAACTAGCATAAAATTGACCTAAAGGATGATATTGAAATAGAGTGCATTTTTTGTTTTATTCTGCAAACCCAAAACGATTAAAAACAATTGGGGCTTTTGGTTTAGAACAACTGCTCCAAGTAATTACACGCTATTTTTTTTTTTAGAGAAAGGCAATCAGTACCGCCGGTACAATTTTAAAATGTTTTGACTGTCAATATTTTGGAATCTGGGAGGTTTTTGAAAAAAAACCATAAATGTTTTCCGTACTCTGTTTACCAAAATCCACCTTTCGTCACCTCGAGGTCAACAAAACACTTTATACAACCTTGTTTCTCACGGCAACTCGTTCAAACAACTGCTGACAAACAAACGGTGCTCGAGTAGCTCAGATATTGAATTTATCTTTTTTCACACCTTGACGACGAGTGGTTCGATTCTCTGGGAAGAGGCAAAAAGCGGCATTTCATGCCAAAATTTGAGAGACTTAAATAACGAGAGGGGCGAAACCCAGCCGGAATATCTCACAGTGGTTTTCATTCAAAAGAATCTTGTGATAATAATCTGAGTTGCCAACGAAAGTACACTGGTCAGGACTAAATTAAACCGATTCGACAGTGAGGTACAGCATTGTGCATCGAGGAGTACTTTAGCATTACCGCGCTTAGCTTGTCAGATAACAGGATACTTTCCAGCTCAAGCACTGAAGGCCTATTTTTAAAGGCCAAGAGGTCGCGACCACAAAAGAGTAATCACGTTATTAGTCTGCATGCCGCCACGTATCGTTTATGAAGTAGTTTTGTACATCATGAACATGCTACGTGAAGCGTCACACAGTATCCTTCTCTACTGAAGGTAGCCGGTCATCTCGTCAAGTTTCGTGGTCGAAGGACCCCAAAGACTCTACCGTAGCAGTGGTGAAAAAGTGTGTCGTGTGAAGACTCGAAGAAATTCTAACACAGTGGGATTTGCATGAGTTGACCTGCATAATAGACTGTGGATTGAATTACCCACATTATAATACTGAGGTCGCACACCAAAGCTACGACAAAAGGCAGAGGAATTTGAAAGATAAAGAAGTGGAACTGGCGGAGTTAGTTTAATTATCTTAATGGAAATGAATTTCGGTGTACGTCTCACAGTGTTTTGACTTCCGCAGCTTTTGTGACCAACAATTTGGTTTCGAGTGAATCACATATAAAGCCCCGTTTTCTTTGGTCATTACGGAGCGCATTACATCCCTCAGGCAAACGGCGGAAAGTGTGTCACTAGTTTTCATGGATGAGGAAAGTTTTTAGACTGCAGAGAGTGTGGCGTTCAAATCCACTTGGCAGCTACTTGTTAAACGAGTTCAAAGAGGTACATTTCCTTCTCACCACAAATTAACACGAGCTGAAGTTGGATCGTGGCACGTTTTTCACCCACAAATGATGGTCACATCTTACCCAAACATAACAAATTTTACCAAAAGCGATCCATGTCCTTATGAGCCTTACACGTCAACAGAGAAGGTTTTCCAGTGTATTGCGTACTTCATCATTATGTTTGGGTCCTTCATCGGTAACGTGCTGGTCATATGCGTTGTCATTCTAAACAGACAAATGCGAACTGTCACGAACTATTTGATAGTAAATATGGCGGTGGCAGATCTCTTGATTACAATAGTCAGTATGCCGGTAACTGCAAAAGTTCTCGTGACAGGACGCAGCATAAATTGGTCAAATGGTATCTTGTACGATATTTTGTGCAAAATAATCCCATTCAGCCAAACTCTGTCGATCGCAAGCTCTGTTTTGAGTTTGACAGTCATCGCTGTTGACCGTTTCTTGGCAGTAATGTACCCTTTCAAGGGGTGCATGACTTTTCAGAAAACGTATGGTGCAATGGCACTAGTTTGGTTCGTGGGTATCGCAGTTAATTCACCGACTCTTTACGCCCAAAAGATTGTGTTTCTTGAACACAGTCAAAGATGGACCTGCACGGAGAAGTGGGAGCCAGCATTTACCGAAGGGGCATACAAAGACTTTACAATCGTTCTTTTTGTGAGTTTTTACCTAGTTCCTCTACTAACCATGTCGATTCTATACAGCTTCGTCATTTACAAACTCTGGGTGAGGAAAGTACCAGGAAATCAAACTGCCGAAAACCAGCAGCGATCCAACAAATCCAGAAAGAAAGTTTTAAAAATGCTTCTTGCTGTTGTCCTACTCTTTGCACTTTGTTGGCTTCCAGTGTACATCACCCAATTTATAGGGTTCTTCGGCGAGGAGGATTTTCCTTGCGGTGCACCAAAGACTTTGGCAATTATGGGCTACTTTTTGGGACATGCTAATAGCGCCATCAATCCTACTATTTATGTGATATTTAACTCTGACTTTCGTAAAGGTTTTCGAGATGTTTTGCTGTGTCGTTATTCACGCAGGAACAGAGTTGCTCGGCAAGTAAATATGGGAACCGTAACTGGAGGGGAAAATAGTCACTATGTTGATGGTGCGACTATCTTAGCGCGTATCCGTACGCGCGGAGGATCAAAAATATCGACTTGATAGCAGCTATTGTCAAAGTTGATATTTATATTGAAAACAGTGAGCAATATTACGAGGGTAGTAAGGGTTTTCAGAAAATTATTCTTGAAAATGACTTTCATACTAAAAATGCCCGAACTTTGTGTATTTTCAGGTGCAAAATGAGAATACTTTCACACCGTAAAAATCGTTCATTTTAGGTGCAAATTGTAGATACATCTTTAATTTTCAAAAATCGGTGAGTTGATTTAGAAGCATACACTTCTAAAATCCCAAAAATTGAGTTTTACGAAGCGTAGTGGGCCAATTTGGGCCCATTCTTCTATAATTTACGCCTTCAAATTTTTCGCTTTATCGGTTATTGATAAGTAATGATGTCCTCGCGTTCTGCCTGATGATTTATTGGCTAAAATAAAACATTACCTGTTGTATATTCGTCCTCGCACACTGTCCGCATCCAGTTAACTCTTAAGAAGGGAAAGATGGAAAGGAAAAAATTTCTCCCAGATGCTATGAAGAAAACTGAAAGGCATTTCACAGCTAAGAAAGATGATTTCCAAGTTTTAATTTTAATCACACTTTTTTTCGTGTATTCGGCTTCACAAATGTGAGACAAAAACGGTCATCGATATCAGATTTTAGTTTGAGAATGGAATTTGTGGCAAGCTTCAAGATGTGAATTAAATAATCGCCAAAGAAAAGAAACAAATTTCACGTCAACTTTCATTCGAATGTGATGAAAGTGTTCTTGAAATAGCGCCTCACTAGTTAAACGATGATCCTCTTAAATGTTTGTTTATCCCTTCAGCCGTAAAAAGTTATTGATTTGAGTTTCCGCTGTTAGGTATATTGCAAACCCGCTCTCTGTAAACTTGTCATTTATGAAAAAAGCAATAAAGTTTATCTTGCATTTTCTTGAAGAAAAAAATAATGTTTTTCATACGTCTGATTTCTCATTGCAAATGGGAATATCTCAGTCTAGTTAGACATTTTGTCTATTATTAAGAGGAAGAATTAAAGCTTATTACTGGCTGGTGCGACAGCTAGCCGATATTCACCGCGTTTTGGGGAGAATGGGATTTAATGTTTTGTTTACATGTACTCAACATCGTATTAAGACTTAAAAATCTGACAAGCTACCCTAGGGTATTTCCTGATACGCGAGGAGTTGACCAATATGCAGGAATTAGGTCTCCGGCTAAAGAACTTGATTTTAGATCAAATAGATGGTTCGCTTTTTAAAGTAAAGCAACGAGAGCTTTCTTGATACTAAGAGAACTTAAGTTTGAGAGTGAGTACCACTCAATTTTATTGCTCGATTTTACTGATTAAATTTCGTCAGTAAATGGCAGGCTGAATTGAAAATCATAGACTTGAAAGCTTTTTCAGTTAAAAAGAAGGTAATTTGCCTTATCAGCACTGAAACAAATTAAATTGTTAATAACTTTTCAATTCAGCAAAATAATTTTCCAATAAAAGATATGATTTAAACTGTTTTTACGGTGTTTCTATCTCTTCAGTGATCTTACTTGAATCATATATTACGTGGTGAAGACTTCGTCGTCATGACTTTGTGCTCCTGTATATTGTGTAAGTTACCACTCGGAAAAGAAGTTTGTCTTCTGGAAACATTAACCCAAATGTTAAGTTGTATCAGAGAGGGTTTCAAAACTTTGTTGGGATTTTGTACAGACGAGACACATGATTTCATTAAAGTAGTCCGTGCCTTTTGTAATTTATTCCAACCAACTAGTAAGTTACTCTTTGACAGAAGTTCGAATTCTAGATTCTATCTTGAAAACGCCTTTCAGTTTAGAGATGCCGTCCAAGTGATCAAGTTCACCATAGATGAACAACAAAGTTTGCTACCATGATGGCTGATACACTGCAGTAAAAAATAAAAAATCATAAAAAAACGAGGCTTGGCTATGCTGTTAGGGTTCTCGAGGTGTCGAAGTACAAAGTCATCCTGTTATGCAACAAGTTTTACATTCTCATGTCTTGCAAACAACAATAGAAGATTCTGAGTCTACCTTGTTCCTTTTTTTTTACTCTAATGGTGGTTCCAGATCCTTCTGGATCATTTCGTCTTCAGATGAAAACTTTAGGGTTGCCACCTCCGTAGAAAAAATATGATTTTATGATTGTTGATGTCACCGGTGTCCTACTGCGAACTATCGTATGATTTTGTCAAAATTAACGCTCTTTCCTGTCACCACAACGGTTAGGTATTGTACTGATGTACCACCACCTTTTTGCTGTTTTTGGAGAAAATTACACCAGGAACTCAAATAATTTATATCTGAGTCACAAGAAAACAATTTTAGAATGCAGATATTTTGGTAGATGTTTGGTTTCACAGTATTCCCTCCTTGAAAACTGACTGTCGCATTATCAGAGTTATTTAGATTGAACAATATTAACCTTGAATACTTTTTCTAACAAGAGCAACGAGGACTCCGTTGGGAACATAAAACATTTTTTTCCTGTAAGATTGAATGAAAGCTACTGCTCCATTCCATAATCGTTGTTTTTGAATCAAGAATCATAGAAATCGGATTAAAAACTTCCGCTAATTTTTCCACGCCATTGACCTTTCGGCACGTACACTTTGAAGTTTATATTTTGCCATGCGGTGGCACACAATTATCACTATTGAAACCCTGAAGCACAGTTTCTAAGTCGTGACCATTTAAGCAAATATTAAACGTCGAGCTGTTTGCCGGAACACATTAAGAAAGGTTCTGACAGATGTTGAAACTATTAACTTAATGCGGTTTTTCTTTTTCAATAGAACACAGTTGTACAACGCGACCCTCGTCAAAATTTAAGTATGCCAAGAAAGCCATCTACCAAAATATTTCTCGTGGGGTAATGAAGCTTCGCCCGATGAGACAGCTATGCCTGTTTTAGGCATTTAATCAGTAAAACGGAACGGTAAATATCAAACGATAGTAGCGGGAGAGTGAAAAAGCGTGCAGGCTTGGGTCACGTCAGGTAAAGAACATTACGCAACTTGAGTCAAGCCTTTCTATTTATTGTCGAGCTTCATTTTGCCAAATGAATGCCCGGAATAAGCTAAATTTTATCTTCATAGATTGTAAACTACTTACGAGCAAAAGATCAAACAACAGATGAATCGATTTTCTCGGTGGGAATACAGGAGGATTTAAACTTTAAGATCACACAGCTTAAAGCTCCACACCAAGGCGGAGCACATTTAAATGTCGATCGTGACAATTTTTCGATGAATCTGAAGCGTTTGATGAAAAGAGAAGACGTGAGAAAGGATGTTTTCTTTCTTCGTATCTTAAAGATAATATCGAGCATCATTACGATTATTTTTCTTTCCTTAAAGCTTTTTATTCCACAACTAAAATGTGTGATTTTTATAGCTCACATCTCCTAGAAAAAAGGGTCAGCTAGAGTACCCCTGCAGCAATAGAGAATTCTGTCAACTAGAGAGCTGCTGCAGCAATATTGCAGGACGATCATGAGGTTAAATAGAGCCAAGAGAAAATAATGGGACATTATCGTCTTTGGATAAAGCTCAGTGAAGGCAATCAGTCAAGAAGTTTGAAAAAAGAAATTGAATTTATCATAAGCATATCAACAATCGTCACTTGTCCGGTTGAATTTCGAGGGGGCAAGCAAATCTAAGACAGACCTAAGGCATCTCTCGTCCCAGTTTTTTCGTACCCGTTTTCTTTGCCCTGTTATCCTGTATCCCTGGTCTATTAGTCCATTCCAGTCCAAGGTAGTCCAGTCCGATCCCGATCCAGTCTTTCCCATACCAACGATAGCCTTTGTCCGGTGCCAGTCTCCCTCCGAGTTTGTGGAGGGTTTTCAAGATGGAAGACAAACTCGTGTAACAGCTTTGATTTGGCTCGTTTTCCAAAGCATGTCACGAATTTTTCTCCCCTTGGATATATAAAGACTGCTGATATTACTTCGTTTTCCGAGGTAAGTATAATTTATATTGAATATTTAACCTGATATGCATTCTTTACGCTCGTTGCTTCACATTCGAGCTGCAAATTTCGTTTCAATTAAATACACGTCTTGGCTTAACTGAGCCTTCTTTTAATTTCTAGTATTAATAAGAGACCCGAGACGTTCAAAACAAATTTTGGAATGCATATGTATGTTTTCTGGCCTTGGTGCAAATATGGATGATGGCAGAGACCAAAACAATTTTCCAAACATATCTTAAAAAATGGAATAGGTATACATGTACATGCTGTGGTATTCAAGCTTGCACACCCCATTGGTGGCCAATTTCAATCACATTATAAAACAATCAAATTTTGTTAGTTGATTTTTGAGGGCTCATGTTTTATTTCTAACATTACTCTTGTCAACAAACAAGAACAAGAATTGAAAGGGGGAGGGGCTGGTGGGGATGGTGCCAAGGAGTGCACTACCAGGGACCGCGGAGCAAGGATTCTCACTGCAGACATCTGATGGTGGGAATGGTGTCAAATTTACCCAACTGGGCATTACTGAGTGGTGCCAAGGAGTGTACTACAACTTCATATTCATTCTATAATAATTTATTAGTCCTTGTTAAAGTAATCAGATATCTTTTCTAACCATTTTCACTGCATTACCGCAGTAGGGTAGGACTAGAATGGAACATATGCGAACCGTGTGAGT